GAATCGAGATTTGGTCAAAGCCATCGAGATTTGGTCAAAGCATTTGGAAAGGATGTATTGTCCGAAAGCCGATGCCGAGCCTGGTTCTAACGCTTTCGGAATGGTGATGAAAGTCGCGAGGATCATGAACACTCTCGTCAAGAATATCGTTGTCTACCTCAAGCTGTAGACAACCTCAAGCTGTAGACAACCTCAAGCGGTAGACAACCTCAAGCGGTAGACAACCTCAAGCGGTAGACAACCTCAAGCGGTAGACAACCTCAAGCGGTAGACAACCTCAAGCGGTAGACAACCTCAAGCGGTAGACAACCTCAAGCGGTAGACAACCTCAAGCGGTAGACAACCTCAAGCGGTAGACAACCTCAAGCGGTAGACAACCTCAAGCGGTAGACAACCTCAAGCGGTAGACAACCTCAAGCGGTAGACAACCTCAAGCGGTAGACAACCTCAAGCGGTAAACAACGATATTTTGAGGGTCAAATCGAATCGGATCCATGTCAAATGACGCGTGAACTTGCTCAATAGTTTCTATGTTCAAATTCTACCATTGATGAGCATCTCCACGCCATTGGAAAGGCGATCAGATACGGGAAATGGCTTCCTCACGAGTTAAGCAGTACAACTTTTTTATTACGAAAGCTCGTTTATATCCGAACAACCTAATATCTTTAGCACAAGTTTCGAATGACCCTTGCGCAAAAATTCCACGTATTTTCTGATCATGCTTTATCTAAACTTCGATTCGAATCTCTTTAAACTCTAAACTGTAAACTAATTAGCTAAAGAGATGGTAATCAGAAAATAAAAGTTATTCAAATGTTTACTCTAGGAAAAGATAAACATTTTTAAAGGTTAACTAGCCCCTAGTGTGCAATAGGTTAGAGAGAAATCATGGCCTTGAATAGGAAGGGTTTTTTTTCTTCTTTTGTCCTTCACCCATATCCATTCTACCCTTTTATCCTTTTTTTTCAGCTTTTGGGTCGTCCCCCTTTTCTTGCTTTTCCTTTTCCACCCTCAAATCCCAAATCTCCGGGGAATACCGGGGAACGACAATCGGTGCTTCGTCGAGCTTCCCTTTTCTTCGCATTCTCACTCCACTTACTAACAATGTCATTTTTGCGACTACTTTTTGAGTTTTCTTACTTGTTATATTGAGATTTTAATATTTACGTCAAAATAATATATAGAGAAAACCGTTTAGTTAACAATCTATTTCAAAAAACGTTGACAAGATAAGTGAAACTTGCCAAGTACAACTTTTTTATTACGAAAGCAATCTTCCTGACACGACAGGATACTGTTTTTTTGTTTGTTTGCTGTTGACTTAGTCAGTCAACGTACAAATAAATTAAAAATTAGGTAATAAAAACAATTATCAAACAAACAAACAAACAAACAAACAAACAAACAAACAAACAAACAAACAAACAAACAAATAAACAAACAAATAAACAAACAAACAAACAGTGCCCTGCCGTTAGACTCACTGACTTCAATTGCAGCATTCAATCTAGTCCTTGTTTTCGCAACCAGATCAATTTCGTCCATCAATCTCGGCAATCATTTGAAGAGTTGAGTTTGATGTCGTTTTGTTCACACAAATTCTTCGCTTTCTCTTGAATCAGCCTTACTTTATTTTTCTATGGACGCTCGCTTTCACCCATTCGGCCAGCTCAAGATCGAACTGCTTGTCCGTCAAATTTTTCCTTCCGTCTTTTACTCTTTTAAACGCCTCATCTTCCGTCTTATGTCTTTTTGTCTTCGTCTTGTCATCTTTCGTCTCTTCTTGTGACATTCATTTTTGAATCATAGCTCGGGTCACTTGAAGCTTTTTGATCGAATGGTTTCTTGAAATCTTCTTGACTGGATTGTCTTCAGTTTGAAATTGATCGTACAGTACTGGACAATGAAATATCATATTTGAAAAACGATCGTCACTTTCGCGCGTCTGTAACTCCCTTGTCTTTGAGTTTAAACTATTGGTGTTAGACATTTTTTGAAAGCTCTTTCCAATGGCTACACAATGGTAATATTAATATTTAGAAATACGGTAAAGACAAGGGAGTTACAGACGTGCGAAAGTGACGATCGTTTTTCAAATATGATATTTCGTTGTCCAGTAGTGTATATGCTTTTCGCTTTCTTCTCTTTTTGGCCATCGAATCATCCACAGATTCGTATCCTGAAAGAAAAAGATTCAAACTCGAAGTTTGAATCTTTTTCTGGCTTTACATTTGACTTCTCTTCATGCTCTCGATTCTTCAATAAATCCAAGAAAGAGGAAACGGCAGCACGGGGAAATTGATACATTTTATTAGTTGTGTTTCTATTAGAGTTCTTTTATTAGAGTTCTTCTATTAGAGTTCTTCTATTGGAGTTCTTCTATTGGAGTTCTTCTATTAGAGTTCTTCTATTAGAGTTCTTCTATTAGAGTTCTTCTATTAGAGTTCTTCTATTAGAGTTCTTCTATTAGAGTAAATACAGTATTTGTCTTTGTGTTAATCTATAGAAGTTGCTTTTAGATTTACTTTAAGTGTGTTTACATGGGAAAAAATCTGATAGTTATTCTGCAGTTGAGGGGAATATCTTACATTTAATCCGGTAGTACAGCCAAATATTTCTACTCTCACTGTAGCAGTTTGTCTATTCTTAATGTCTAGAAATTGTCTATTCTTAATTTCTAGAAATTGTCTATTCTTAATTTCTAGAAATTGTCTATTCTTAATGTCTAAAGATTCAAAAGATAACATTTCTCATATATAGGCACTTTGTTTCCATATAGTTCTAAAGTAATTTTTAACTTAAACTTAAACAAATCTAGTTTCTATAAAATATTTAAAGAAATTAACAGTCTTATTCATCATTGTTTAACAATAATAACAAAAACAATAACAACAGAAACGCAAATCTAACCGATCAAATTGAACTTTTGCAATGCATTTATTCAGAATTATTTGACTTTCCTTTACAACTTTTCTTTCTTTTCTTTTCTTTAGTTAAATCGATATTATTGTCTTTCTGCTTCTCAGTATTGCAATTTTACTTTTTATACTTTAGAAAGTATTGCAAAACTAGCAAAACTTAGGCGCTATATTGAACTTTGTAAAGTGATGCTTTCAAGACCCAACTGCTTTCAAGACCCAACTGCTTTCAAGACCCAACCGCTTTCAAGACCCAACCGCTTTCAAGACCCAACCGCTTTCAAGACCCAACCGCTTTCAAGACCCAACCGCTTTCAAGACCCAACCGCTTTCAAGACCCAACCGCTTTCAAGACCCAACCGCTTTCAAGACCCAACTGCTTTCAAGACCCAACCGCTTTCAAGACCCAACCGCTTTCAAGACCCAACTGCTTTCAAGACCCAACTTCTTATATATGAAAATCAAATGTTTTTTAAAGCTAGTAAATAGCTAAGAAATAATTTAACAATTGATTTCATTGTCTACTCAACTATTTTTGTCTACCACATGTTGTTCAAGATAATTTCTCTGGACAATTCCCTATCCCTTTTCACTCCTTTTTCACTCCTTTTTTACCTTTCTTTTCCCATTTTTTCTATTATTTTTCTTATTCTTTTCGTAATCCATTTTTCGAGAGATTCAAATCAATCTTCAGCTTCAGCTAGCTTTTGCTTTTCGATTTCTTATTTTTCGAAACTTATTTCTAATTATATTTTCTAAATATATTTTCTAATTGTTTGCAAGATTTCAGGTGATGAAAGCAGCAAATCACTAAGATGGATTAGGTAAGTTGATCGTTGAAAACTCAGCACACTCTGTAGCCGACTTACAACTAGGAACTTGAACAACCGTTATCTTCTTCGCTTTGGTTTCATTTCATTGATTCAAAAAGTCTGTTTTAGCAAATCTCTGGGGACTATATTAGTCGACAAAAATCTCTCGTGGCAAAATTGACAAAATAGACTTTTCTCACTCAAAAACTGCTCAAATGAAAATATTCGACTGAGTCAAAAAGCACCTGGTTTCTTTGGTAATTTATAAAAATAAATGAGAAGTTAATTAATATCAATACTCTTAAATCAATATCAATATCAATAGCCGATCAATATCAATAGCTGATCAATATCAATAGCTGATCAATATCAATAGCCAATCAATATCAATAGCCTCAATATCAATAGCTGATCAATATCAATAGCTGTTCAATATCAATAGCCGATCATTATCAATAGCCTCAATATCAATAGCTGATCAATATCAATAGCTGATCAATATCAATAGCCGATAAACATCCTCAAATTGATTCCCTATTTTCGAAATTGATTTTAAAACAGCCTTTAAACTCTAGATTTCTTTGAGCAAAACTTTTTCTATTTTCTAGCTTTCTACTTAGCTAAACTTCTAAACTCTTGAAAAAAATGAAGAATTGATTTTGACTAAAGCCGTGCGACGTTCATTATGCAAAGCTCGTTTCGTCGAGAAGCCACATCACAAGAAGAATTCACCTCCTCTTGCTCTTGCTCACCCCCTCCTTGAGATCTTTCTCTCTCTCTCTCTCTTTTTTGCCCGCCTATGTGTATGTGTGCGAGATTGCGGCCTCTGGCGCCTGGAATTGCAAAGGGCAAAGACACACCAACCACGCCCCGTAGAAGAGGTGCCAAAAAACTTGGAAGAGCCTCACTCTTCGATATATTCTCGAACTCCGTACAAAGCGCGGTTTTCTGAAGTGTCTTCTTGGCCCATTCTCTCCAAACTGATAAAGGAAACGCGATTCGGTTGGGGAGCGTCTTTCCTCTTTTCTCTTTCGTTTTCATTCCCCTTTTTCGTTGTTCTTCCCCCGGGGACATCTCCTCTAGAGAGCGGATCCACATTGGGCGGCGCTTTCCCTCTTTTTCGAGAGTCACTTTGGGGGCACGCTGTGGGGCCTGTGTGCCTGGCCCCAGCACGATCTTCATCTAGAATTCCTTGAATATAATCACTAAAAAAATTCTCCCAAATCCCCTGGTGGTGAGCAGAGTGTGCTGAGCGATTTATCCTTCAATGCACGTGCGCTACTTGCAGCACCAGTATCAGGGCACTGTGCAGCTGCTTCTCATGCCCCTCTCCACGGCTAACTCTATCAAGAGCCACAAGTGGTATGTGTTTTGACGATTTTTTTATGTGATTGGATTCATTCATGTATTTATTGATGTATTCATTTATCATTTTTAGGGCTAGCGATGATGAGGAAGCAGAGCTAGAAGGGATTCCATTGCCTATTCAGACTTTTCTCTGGCGACAAACTAAGTGAGTTTTTTAAACATAATCTTCATTTCTTGCTTTATCCAGTTTTTAGGAAAATAGTTCTTTCATTTATGTCTAGATTTATATTTCATATCGATGAAGCTAAAGAAGAGGCTTCTCTGTCCAAAAATTGATGTGCGCATTATAGTGAAAAGGAATAGAAAAAAAAGGGAAAAAGATAGGGTAAAGAGTGAAAGGAAAACTTGAGTTCTTTTTAGCGTTTTGGCATACGAAAGGCTGATGTGTTGGATGTGGAGGAAAGGGGGAAAGCCCCTTCTTTCTCTATCTATCCCCTTCCAGCTATTCAGCGCCTATCCAATTGCCCGAATGGCCTCCTGCACTCTTTTTTTCCTTCTTTTCTTCTCTTTACCCTTTCACCAGTCTATAGGAGATTTCAAATAAAAACACGCATGAAAGAAGCTAGTAAAAGAAATACGTCTAGAGCAACGATGAATTCTCTCAAAAGACAATGTTTCTAAATTGAACCTAGCTCCTTCACCCTTTCAATAGATATTGTAATGCTTGAAAAAGCTATATCTAAAAATTTGGCTAATTATCGTTAAGAGAAGAGTTAAGAAAAGACAGAAAGCAAAAAAAGCTATCAATTTCAATTTAATTTCAGTCCTTTTCTTGGCGCGAAGATCGGCAAATTGCACGAAGCGTCTTGTGTGGTGAGTTCACTTCGAAACTTCTAATGTATCAGAATTCATTGAAGAAGCTGTTTTGTTTTTGCTACAGCTTGAGCTTTCTCTTTTTCGTTCAATCCTGAGCGAATGATCGAGAAGCCATTTGAGTGGGAGGAGAGGCTGAAGAGGCGAAGGTGACCCTCAAACGGCTCCCCCTCGCACTCTTCAATACACACAAACGAAGAAAGGCGAGGAGCCCCAGGCCCGCCAAAATTGCCGCATTGCAAAGAGCTTCTTCTTTTTTTCCTTTTTCCCCAATCGATGAGTGTTTTTTTTTTCGGGAAAACGCTAGAAATTTTGTTAGAGGGTTACGAGAACTAGATCAAATTGGATTAGAAAACTAGATCAGAACTAGATCAAACTGGATTAGAAAACTAGATCAGAACTAGCTCAGTACTAGATGAGAACTAGGTCAGAAAACCAGATGAGAACTAGCTCAGAACTAGATCAGAACTAGCTCAGAACTAGATCAAAAGATCAGAACTAGATCAGAACCAGATAAAAAGAGCAGATCGATGTTGAATTAGATCAAATGAAATAACAAGAATATGCTTAAATTTTAGACATTTGAACGCGTGGTGGTGCAAAATATTCTTCATGGACTTTCACCATCGCTATCCGATGCGATTGCCTCGATTTCACGATGGAAATTTCTTCGAGCCGCTTTACCACATATTATACAAGTTTGTGAATAGAAAATTTGCAAAATCATCAACCCGAAAGAATAGAAAAATGAAAAAGGTTAACGAATCTTCAAGAAATCAGATACTAATCGAATTTTAGGATGATCAATTTTGCTGTTTATCAATAGATTTTTCTAGATTTCTTATTTGACCAAAGTTCAGTACTTAAACGATAAAAGAATATTGAAATCAAGGGGTTAAACTACTTGATTTCAAGAATAACAAGAATTATTACGAAATTTTCGAATGCTTTAGTGTTGCGGGAGTTTACTGGAAGCGCACGCCGCCTCGTCACCCAGAAATCTCTCACCGTCGTTGTCTAAAATTCTCTACATTCTTCACTGGATGCTTCTCGATTCAGCCACTGAGTGTATGGATGCGAATTTGGAGGAAAAGGTTAACAAATCTTCAAGAAATCAGATACCAATCGAATTTTAGGATGATCAATCAGTTGTTCTCAGAAAACAGGCCCTTTTCTCGATTCCGTCTATTCAACTCTTTGTCTATCTGCTCGCTCCACTTGCTGAAACAAGTAAGAAACACTTTGTGCAATTTGGAAGGGAAGATTAACTCGATGTGCTGGTCAAATCATAGTCATAGATGCAGAATTTCATGCTGATCATGACGATGCTTTTCTTTTTTTCTAGGGAGCACTCTGTCAAAAGTTATGCTTTTGTTTTGTTTAAAAAAACAAACCGCAACATTGAGTGCTTGGTTGAATGGTAGAGAGTTAGGCTACAAAGCGAGGCTTGCGATTCTAGGTCCCGGTTCGAGTTCGATACCTGGCCTTTTTTGATTTTGATGCCTTGTGTTTTCTCCGCACACGCTGCGTAATGTAATGTAATGTGTAATTTCATGTAATTCAAGTTCACAGCTCACAGGAGTGTAATGTAATTCAAGATCTAAAGGGAAGTCAGAGAAGACTATTTTAGTCAGAGAAGATGACATAACGGGCAATATTCGCTTGGAGAGTGGGCTGAAAATTTGGCAAGCAATGTGGCAGGTGGGCACTAGAAAGATCTTGTTGATTTAAAAAAGCTTTTTTAGTATCGTCAACCGGATGTTCTGTGCTTTTGTGCGCCGGTGAAGCAACGAAGAGGAGAGTTGCCGTTGGTTTGCGTGGTGAGAAAGGGTCGACGCGAGAGTCACTCACAAGCACAAGGCATCTATCTAGGTTGGTAAAAAAAATCTCTAAATCCTATTGTCCTTTAAAATGACAGGTGTTTTTTCTTGAATCCTCTGATTTGTCTTTCTCAATATATGTTCTTTCGTTAAAAATGATTCCCAGCCTTCTTTTCCCAGTCTAGAGCTTCCTTTTTTTATATAAATGGGTATCTAATGAAGTCTTTTCTCAACTCTTTTTCTCTTTTTCCCCATCTGAAAATCCTTTCATTTACACAAAGCTTGCAAATTAGCGAAATTTTGCTCAAAAAAAAAAATATATATATATATAAACCCTACTCTAAAATCTTTAAAGTGAACAAACGGAGAAAAAATGGTAAGCTGATGAGAAACGATGCATGGGAATTTCATTCATTTTGCTTTTTGATAAAGAAAGAATAACAAAATAGCATGGACTAATGCTACAGAAAAAAAAAACCAAAATGAGAAAATGCTGCAAAGATGATTGTTGAAAAGTTAAAGCTGCAACTAACAAAAGCTTTTTGTGAAATGAGTGTGTAATGGTGGAAATTTTTAGGTGATGAGCCGGAGACACTGCGACGACCGTCCATCGTTCCACCACCAAAGCCACCCCGAACAGATGCACAGGTATTTTGGATGGATTAATAGTGCTCATCTACAAGTTAGCAAATAAAATTTTTTCCTGTTGTTTATAGGTTTTGGCGGAGAAAAAGAAACGAGAGCTGGAAAAACAAAAGGAACAAATGGGACGGCATGAATTGCTGGTGAAAGCTGATGTCACTTTTCCAAGGTTTTTATTAACAAAAGCAATTCAGCAAAAGAATAGCCTTTACTTCATTTTCCTTATTCGATTTGTATTTATGAATTCACAAATTGGTCATAAATTCGTGTGTCCATTATTAGCTATTCACTAGCTATTCACTAGCTATTCACTAGCTATTCACTAACTATTCACTAACTATTCACTAACTATTCACTAACTATTCACTAACTATTCACTAACTATTCACTAGCTATTCACTAGCTATTCACTAGCTATTCACTAGCTATTCACTAGCTATTTTTAACAAATTCGCAACAATCTGGCTCACCAGTGACCCACTTTTTGAGCTCGATTTAGCTGTAAATTGTAATTGGCTGTAAACTAAAGGGTTTTTGAGGTCAAGGAATTCGAATTTGTTATTAGTTTTTAAAGAAAAATGCTCTATTTTTGAATATTTCTTTCTACATAGATCTGTAGAGGCAGTCAAGACAAAAATGACTTTCTTGTGAATGTTTAAAAACGAATTTTATACAGTAATATCGAAACTTTCTTCTTTTTTACTGTTGCTAATCCAGCAATATACTTGATTAGTTCTCAAGAAACAATATCATATCAAATATCAACAAAGTTTTCAGGCCCGACACCGAGTTGTTGATCGATGTGGGACCATTACAGCCAACCCGCATCCCTCCGCCTCCACAGGTTCGAAAAAGTGTGCACAAAGATGGCAAAGAGGCATCATTAGATAAATTTAGACTTTAAATTAAAGCCTACGAATTAGCGAAAAGCCTATTAAAGGCGAATTAGCCTATTAAAGCTTGGTTTCAGCGAATGATCTCTCGAGAGCGCTCTTGTTCGGTTGTTAGAAGCGCTTCAGAGTATCGAGCTGACGGAGAATCGATGGAACAACGCCCAAAAATCCCAAAAAGTCACACCACAGCCGCTTTTGATGTCTCACCAAGTAAATTTCTATCACCAATACCAATAATGCTTTTAAAAAAAAAGTTTTAGCTTCAGAAGATAGCATAAAAGTGTTGGATGAAGTGGATGCGGCGATGCGCTTCGTTGAGGACAATTCTTTATCCAATATTTTTGCTGGTATGTTTAAGAATCTTGAAAAAACTTTAGCTTTTCATTTTAGCATCTGATGAAGCACCATTGGTTCAACTAACGGATATTTGTAGTGAAATCTCGATGGATATTGGAGAAATCAATGAGACGAGTTCTTGTGATGTAAGAAAACGAACAGAACGAACAAAAACTTAACAAAAAACTTTATCTAGGTTGTTTGCGATAAATGTAAATTAGTGATTTATCGAGAGGGAACGATGATCGGTACTTGTAAATGCTCACGAAATGGGAAATCTCAATTGAAAGTCGTTCGTCGAGACAGTCCTCCATCAAACTCTTTCGGGGTAGCAAGTTTTACAGGGCTAGTTCATAAAAAACCAAAAAATTTAGCCTTCATCTACACCACTATCCGCTATTCCCAGCATGAAAAAGGAATCTCCAATATTATGTAAGAGATTTGTCTTTGAATTTGCTGTTTGAATTTGGTGTCGTCATGGCCGAGAGTGGTTAGGTGTCTTGTATCCTAGTCACATTCACGCTCACGATCACAGCTTCGATCCCCTGAATAGCCGAGTGTCTTGTATCCTAGTCACGTTCACGCTCACGATCACGATCACGGGTTCGATCCCCTGAATAGCCGAGTGGCTAGGTGTCTTGTATCCTATTCACGTTCACGCTCACGATCACGGGTTCGATCCCAACGATCCCTTATAGAAAATTCTATAGGACAGTAAGGGTTCTGTGGTTGTGCATTTGTTTATGTCACATTATTTAGGTTGTACTTTTAAAAAATTCAACCTTTTTTAGTATGCCGAGATGAGACAATGTCTTCGAGTAGTCAACAAACCGTTTTCCAGAATATTTTACCTCAAACATCTCGTTTACCAACCAGGTAAACCATTTCTTTTTTAAAACAATTGATTAAATTTTCAGCTCAAGTCGAGTAAGCATGGATAAATCGTCGTCTGGAGATCTCTTGCAAAGTGTGACCGAAGAGGAGAAAGAGTTCACTATTCAAGATCCAACGGTAATTTGTTGGAAAAAAATATATTTTAGTTATGTTATTTAAAATAGAAAATTATTGATGGCACTACGGGGGGTCGAACCTGGATCGTGTGGTTTGTAGAAAATGGGGTTCCCAACTGCCCCACGGTGACTTTGTGTCACCACTCGGCAATATCCCTCTAGAAAACCCCGCCGTTAAGCGGGCTTTTCGGCTGGTGTTTTGTATATTACCAGCCGAAAAGGCTTTTCTGGATGTTTTGGGGATGAAGGGCTTTGTCGCCGTGGAGCAGTGGATAGCGCGCCGGTCTATCGCCCATACGATCCGGGTTCGACCTCCCCGTGCGACTCGAATTGTCTCGAAAAAACATCCAAAACCACGTTGCACAACTACATGTAATTCCCTATTCAACGGCGCAAAAATCATTGCAAACGGCCCTCTGGGGGCCGAGGAGTAGCGTGCACAAACAAACAGACGGACAGACAGACAGACGGGCAGACAGATAGACGGACAGACAGATAGACGGACAGACAGATAGACGGACAGATAGACGGACAGACAGACAGATAGACAGACAGATAGACAGACAGATAGATAGACGGACAGACAGACAGACGGACGTCTTAGTCCCTTTATATACATATATAGTAGATAAGTACAGATTGCCTTACGCAAATCAAAAACTTCAGGTAGCTTCATATCTGGATGTAGCCGTTATCCGAACACTTCTCATTCGACATTGGAGCGAAGAAGGCATTTATTGGGCGATGCGCTATCTTCTCAATCGATTAACGGATATACAAGTAAGAAATGGAAGATAATATTCTTTGAAAAAAAACCGATTAAAACCGGATCTTTCAGTCTTACGTTTCTGGACTACAATGGGTCGGGCATCGAGGTCGAAGCAACTCTCTGCCACCATCAAGAAAGCACACTCAACAGGTTGACTTTCAATTCTAGTCAATAGATTTTCATCTTCTCAATTTATCCAATTCCAAATCGATTTTAAAAGCAATTTTCAGTTGGATCAAACGTATTTAACACCAACTTGGGCCGATCTACAACTGGAAAGCGATGAGGAACGATCAAAGCCACATGTAGCGTTCAAGGTATTGTTTTGTAACTAATTTTCAAATGAAAATCGGATTGCGAATTGTAAAATCTATCTAGGATACAAGAAGAAGACTTTCATCAGACCAAGGCGCTGCATTGCGAATTCATTCGGCTGCACATGAGTCAAGAAGAGCCTCGTTGAACACAACCGGGAGACGGCTTGAGAGAAACAAGTCACTATCTTGAGAGAATCATTATATGCTTTAGAGAATCATTACCGTAAATACTGTAATAGTACCGCACCCCCATAATGACGGTGCGGAGTGTTGCGTAGTCTAGCTTTGAACGAGTTTTTCTCGACACTGGTTTGTGCTACAATGCGCGCTTAGGTATCAAAAAATAGCTGAAATTCAGCGCTATTTTTTGATATCAAAGACGCATTTTTTTGAAAGTAAGGGCGCTTTGAAAAAAATGAAATACTAAAAAACTTTTGTGACTACGCGACTGTACGAGGGAGGGGGGAGGGGGTACTATTACAGTATTTACGGTATGTATACTTAACCACAATGTAAATATAAAATATTACCTAATATTGAAGAGCTTAGCATTAAATTAGTCTTGATGACTGTATTATCTTAACAATTCCATTATATAGAGAATCCGTTATAAGTCAAGTTAAGCAGGACCAAATTTTATCCTCCGTTATACAGGGTGCGCATTAATTATGGTCTTGCCTAACAACGCAACGCATTTTTTGAAAGTACGGGCGCTTTGAAAAAAAATGAAATACTAAAAAATTTTTGCGACTACGCGACTGTACGAGGGCGGTGGGGTACTATCACAGTATTTACGGTATATGCTTTAGAGAATCAATATATGCTTTAGAGACCCATTATATGCTTTAGAGAATCATTATATGCTTATCAAAAAAAAAACACTCTAGTTTTTTTTTTCAATTACATATAGCTAAAAAGATTTTCAGAAGTGATCCCTCGTTGAACAGCTCGTTGGAAGTGCTTTCCATTCGAGAACAACCCGGCTCTACAACTAACCTCTCAAAAGAAGACAAGGAGAAAGAAGCGGAGAAAATTGCGGCAAAATTCTACCCTGAAGTTAGTAAAGAATGTCTTTTAAAGCTCACAAAAGTGTTTAGGCTCTTGGAAGTACGAATTTTATCGAAAAAGACGGTCACATCAGTTATATAGTGATTGTGCATACGGTGGATTCGGTGAGTTAAATATGGATTCTTTATAAATGGAAAATAGTTGCTATTGTTAATTTCTAGGTAATGGAACGCAATTGCTCGGTTCGTTTGTGTGAATTAGCGTTGAACATTGCGGACACTTTACTTCGCACTCCCGCCGAACACGAGCCCGATTTCTTTGCTCAACTCTCAAATATGGTGTTTCGGTAGTGAAAATGCAAAAGCTCTTTAGCTGAACTTTCAACTTTCCAGAATTTATCACTCTCTGGGTTGTCCGCACGGGTGCAGCGAGGGAGTGAAGAGTGCGCAAGGGGATTTTCTGCGTGCAAAAGCTCGAGCCCTTTTCGCGTCACTTGAGCGTTTAGATGGAGATCGCTTTCGAACACTTATTCAAATATATGTTCAGAACAATCCACCACAACAGGTTCGTTATTTGTTTAGGATTTACATCGGACTTTGTAGGTTCTCGATTTGCTGCACTCAATCACCGCCTTTTGTCGATCCGAGTTTTCAAGTGGGTGTAATTTTAGAGGAGTTCTAGAATACAAAAAGCATCTAATTATCATATTTAAAAGCAGCACTGTCTGTCTGTCTGTCTGTATGTCTGTCTATCTGTCTATCTGTCGGTCTGTCTGTCTGTCTATCTGTCTGTCTGTCTGTCTATCTATCTGTCTATCTGTCTGTCTGTCTGTCTATCTGTCTGTCTGTCTGTCTATCTGTCTGTCTGTCTATACAGGCATAAAGGCAAATAAAGTTACCAATAAGTATCAATCAAGCCAAAAATTTCTTTAGAAAACCTTAGAATATATTGTAGTTATAGCATTTAAAACAAAAAATAAAACAGTGGGACTACGGGGAGTCGAACCCGGATCGTACAGTGTGCAGAAAAACGTTTTATGCGAAAAGGATAAAGCATAAAGCGCCTTCCTAACTGAGCCACGGCGACCATAAAGACTAAGCCAGAAAAAGTCACCGTTAGACGCGTCTTTCAACTGGTTAACGTAATATATCAGGTGGTGGTGAAGGAAGACGAGAATCCCGGGCTCCATCCTATCGAAATCAATTTTGCGAAAAGGATAAAGGAATCGAAGGCCGCATCCTGAATGCAACCTTTAAGCCACTAGTCACTCGACTTGTCCAAATGGGATCTCAACTCCAACAACCGGAAAATATGGTAATCATTCTAGCAATTCTCTTTACAAAATCAACTCCAGAGTCTTTACGGGGATGTGCGAATGTTAGTGAATTTTGTTCAAGAACAGCACGGGAACCCATTTCGTCGGGTTGGCCTTTCAGCCCTCATCGATGCCATCATTCGACCGAATGGAGCCAGGTATTCGAAAATGTAGATTTGAAGAATTGAATTGTATAAGTTCGGCGAATAAGAGTCGCATTGAGAATTTAGCTCATCAAATGGACTCCGACTCACCATTCCGCACATCGCTCTCGACTCTTTCGAGTAAATTCCCAGTCCCAGTCATCTTTTTTTCTCTCCCCAAAACACGTGCACTAACGTTTTCTCTTTTGGATGGTTTTGTCAAAAAAATTATTAGATTTTGTTCGAAATTTTATGAATAAACCCATCCAAGAGACTTTTTAGTGGTAGTGCGTTTTGAAAAGCAGCAAAAAAAAATAGTTGGCTTACTCGTTTTGAAAAGGCTTTTTCGTTCCTCTCCCAAGCGATGCATGACTCAATCAATTGTACAATTGTATTTAAAAATTATCCCCACCGCTTTGTAGATAATTAGTTATTAAATGATTAGTTATTCAATTATTAAAGTTGAGCTTTTAGTGAAGCGGAAAGAAGAGATGGTGAGGGTTCGGGGAAATCATCGCCGAGTATGGCTGCTGCGAATCGCGGAGAACAGGCCAGCCTTCGACGTGGACTCTTCAAAAAGAAAGAAAAGGTTGAGGATAAAAATAGAACAAAATCCAACAAAATCCATGCGCTGTTTTAGCTTTCTGGAGCTGATGAAAGCGATTGGGACTCGTCCCCATCCACACCGAGAACCATGTCCTCAGTCGATGACACTCCAGTACAACAACTCCACGCTCACACATTGAAAAAGAAAAGCGCTCCGAAACTCCATTTTGGTAAGCGAAAATTGAATTTTGAAATTGTCGAAATGTTTTTTAGCATTTAATTTATTGAAAACAAATCGAACGGATAATGTGGAAGAGGAGTGTTCGGATTTGGATGCAGAAGGAGATGATGAAGAAGAAACACCATCAAAGAAAACGAGTATCGTTGAGGAAAAGCCATTAAGAAGACCACCAACAAGTGAGAAAATAATAGGAAAATGGAAAATGTTTGGTTTTTTTTATGCAGCTAGATTTAATGCAAAAATTAATCCCAGGGTTTAAACTTTCCGAGAACTCAGAAACTTATTATCTTTAAGAGGAGAGAAGAGCCTAATATTCTAATATTTTATTTAAATTAGCCTGGAGTGTCCTCACACAAAACTATAAAAAAAGTTAACAGCAATATGATCTCCAAACATGGTTATGAGTCTTTAAAAGCTGGTTATTCATTCAAAAACCTGGATAACGAATAAGAGTTGAATGTTTTCAGTGAGTGGAGCTCTCCGACTTTGGGGTGTGATGATTCCGGCGGCGAAAACTATCGATCTAAAAGCGATCGCCGATGGAGCACGTCGATTCGCCTTTTTGCTGGAGACGGCTAGACCTGGGACTTTTCCCGATCCATCACTCACCGGTGCCATTATTCAATTGGTCAGTGAATGAAACGAGTAACAATATAGCTATTTCTAGAAATCGCCTGTTGTCGCAAGAGCGTCTCTTCTTCTAGAGCTCGCTCATTTTGTGAACAGATGCAATCGAGGAGATTGGCCGGATTGGATTCGGAGTAGTCATGCAAGGACATTTAGGTAATAAAGAAAAGATCTTAGAAAAAAAACTAGGAAAGAATTCAGTTTGGGAGGTCCATTGGCGAATCGAGGGACCCCATCAGCCACAAGACGAATGCACACTCTTCAAAGAACGGCCGGACGTTACTTCTATCAATGGGCTTTACATGTACGTTTGAAAAACTGAAAAACTGAATACTTTATTGTACTTTACTCAAAAGTAAATACTGTACTCAACTATTGTAATATGTGATTTGCTTTATTTTATTCGATTTTATAGTTCTTTGAATTGGGAATAACCGGATTGAATGCCGTATTTTCTCTAATTGGATTCGGAGTAGTCAAAAATAGTAGTGCGCACTACTATTTTTTGAACCCCCTCTTGACCGGCAAGAGGGTGCACTACTATTAAAGAGTTTTATCATTTACCAAAGTAAGACAGATATAAACTTTATTCCAAAAATTCTTGCAATTCTTTTACGTACTCCTTTGGCTCCTTTTGACATACAGTTGTGGGCCGGCGAGTTGAAAATTTGTGTCTTGACAAACAATCAAAAGATGTTTTTGCACTTTGCACAACAATTTTAGATTTTTTTGCTAACTTTTTCATGTGAAGAATAGTTAATAAATGAATAAAAAAAGCCTCACTTTTGCTTGCGTGAATAGCTTTAGAATGTCACATAAACATAAAGTCAAAAAGGTTTAGATGAAAAAGAAGCAAACAGAAATTCAAATTTTTGGGGGTGCACTACTATTTTTTCAACCCCCTCCTGGACCGGAATACTATTAGAGACTGCACTACTATTAAAGAGTGCACATCTATTAGAGAGAATACGGTAATCAAAATTTTAGATTGGAGAACAACTGGCTCGATTGCTAGAGAAAGGGGAGAATAGAGAGAAAAGAGAGTTGAAAATGGGTGACGTGATGGAGGATTTCTTGGACGATGCAACAGTGAACAGTGATGAGGGCGAGAGAGTCCCATTTGGTCTACAACTTGTCGCCGTTATGCTCCTCTTGGAAATCACTTCTTTTCTCCGCGAGTATTTCCGAACAATCCCACGGGGAAAGCCTGGAAAAGTTGGTTTTTATCATTATCATCATTCATTATCATTCATTATCCTGATTAGGGCGGTGCTCCATCAGGATGGGATCGCTTATTATCACATCGAAGGTGGTCGATTTTATCGAACACTTTTAATCCACAACAGACTGGCTCTATCAGCAGTATAGCCGACGCTGTGCCTGGAGGGATACATTGTGAGTAGCTTTTGAATTTCTCTTATTAAAACTAACTACACTACTGGACAATGAAATATGATATTTGAAAAAAGATCGTCACTTTCGAGCGTCTTTAACTCCCTTGTCTTTACCGTATTTCTAAATATTAATATTACCATTGTGTAGCCCTTGAAAAGAGCTTTCAGAAAATGTATAACACTAATAGTTTAAACGCAAAGACAAGAGAGTTACAGACGCGCGAAAATGACGATCGTTTTTCAAATATCATATTTCATTGTCCAGTACTGTATAAACATTAAGAAGAAATCTATTGACTTCTTGAAAAGTCAATTCAAATCCTTTAATGGAAATCCTGTCAGAAAATCAAGTACAAGAGTTTTTAGTAAATGAAAAAGAGCGCCGAATCTCTCTATCAACGGCTGAAGAAGATTCTCCACGCGGTTCCAAAGACACCATTGAACAAGATGACAAAAAAGGTAGGTGGTGATCCGCAAACCTCAAATCAATCATTCATCTAGCTAGCGTGCGTCATAATCAGCTTTTTTTCTACTTCTTACTACGGAACTGATGTAATTTAGCATCGATTTTTGATTTGATTTGGAAAAAAAACCTTGAAATTCTAAGGGATTTTTTCAGTTGATTTTGAAAGCTCAAATTCTTCAATCGAGTTTTCGAGAAAAATGACGCCACCGTGAGAATGGGCGAGAATTATTTCCCCTCAAACAGTGCCCGGATGGTTTAGTCGATGCTTGACCGTCGTTCTCTTCTCTGGTCCCTGGTTCGAATCCACTTAACGTCGAAATCTTTTTCCCATTTTGACTAGAACCAATTTCTAGGTGTTTTTAAGTGTCTGTAAAAAGCTCTGTAGACTGTAAAAAGCTGTAAACTGTCTATAGACTGTAAAAAGCTAAATAGAGCTCTTGGCAAAAAGGCTGAAAACAACTTTCAGTGACCACAAAAGAATATCAGCTTTCACAAACAAAAATCTGTTTTTTAACCAACTTGTTTAACCAAGAAATTGTTCCAACTAAACTTTTAAAAGCATTTTTCTCGAAAACTGGATGCTATTGAGTAAAAAGTATCACTTAGAATTTAAAGGTGACGTTTTCGTAATTTAACCCATTCGAAACCGCAGCGTTTTTCCTTTTTTTTCGTCTACGGACCAAGCCCTTTTTGGACATTTTTGACTCCGAAGCAGTTTATTTATGGTTGGAAAGATGCAAGAGAGTCTCCTACACCATTTATTTTTGATGAAGAACGATTTGGATTTGACTTCAGTACTTTTCAAAATCCTATATTATTCTTATTTTATCGACGACAAATTAATCAGCATGTTAGTAGGCGAATCTAATAAACTTGGAAAAAGGAAAAAAAACTGGCAGGATTTCGATGCAAGCTCTTCCTGGCTCTGTATCGTGACTACTGGAGTAGCAGGCCTGGATTAGGAGGATTTTCCCACATGTCCCACATTATGTCAAGAGCAAAATTTGAATCTATTCTTCGAAACCTGCGTTTTTGTGATAATGAACTGGATCCTGCGGGAGATCGGCTTTATAAGATTAGAGCTATTATGGAACATTTCAATGCAAAACCAGAGACTGCATTGATTCCGGGTAAATATAAAACATCTTCTTTGCCCACGTAATTTGTAGATCTGCTACAATTGGAATATACATGCAATGCTGAAAAACAGCAAAAAAACCAATTAATTGAATGAAAATAGCTCAATTAGCGCTGCAGCGAATAATCGCTGCAGCGGTCCGTTCCTGAGTTTTTGCTGCAGCGATTATTCGCTGCAGAAGTTTCGAATGGGTTAATTGAAAAACGATGCAAAGTTGAATCATTTCTCTAGTTAGCTTTCATTGATCATCAATTTAATTCTTTTTTTTTAATTCATTTGCTCAAATATCAAACTTTGTAATTTGGTAAGCTTTTTTTGCTCGACGAGCATGTGATGCCATATTCAAAGTCTCGGTTTTTAAAAGTAATTGGAATGCAAATTATAAAACGCAAAAATTTTCCCATCTCTAATCTTGATTTTAAACGATTTAAGCTTAACAAAAAGCTTTCTGCTAAATCAAAAATCATTTTTAAATCTTTTATGCAAAGTATATATAATGTGATTTGTTAAAGTTTTGCTTTTTCTTTGCAAAGAAGCATTTACATCAAATTAATGACTTAATTTGATTTGCAAATTTGTCCTTTGTCACTAACAATTCATAGAAAAATAGCTGACTCAAGCAGTTGAAACCTTTTTGTTCACTTTTACATCTCTAGCTTCATGCTATAACTGTTGAGTTGGTGAATTGAAAAAAACTGCTGGCTATTGTCATATGTGACAGTTTGAGCACTTTCTTCAAAAGAAACCCATTTTGGTGTCAATGGAAAAGTTGTAGAGAATCAAAAATCAAGCTTATATCCAAATTTTCAGAACGATTCAAAAACTGGTTTTCAAGAAATGCCAAATTTACGAATTTTCACAAAACTTGCATTTTAAGCGAAACTACTAAGTGTATCTTTTTGGAAATTTGGACTATAAGCCTGATTTTTGATTCTCTACAACTTTTCCATGGACACAAAAATGGGTTTCTTTTGAAGAAAGTGCTCAAACTGGGACATTCCTTAATTTTTGAGTCTCCAGTCCTCCATTTTTGAGTCTCACACTTGTCTCACACAAAAACCAAAATCCTACTATGAAAGAGGAATCCGCAAATTGCCTATAAAATGAGCAGAAGTCGTCAATAATAATGGAAATTATTTGGAATGAATTCATGGCTTTATGTTGAATAAATTTTAGTTCAAAGTCCGGCAGTTTTCAATTCACCAACCCAATATAACCAAACACAAAATCTAGAACTAAAGTCCCTAGAGAAATCTCATAGCGTTCAGGGTTCTGCTTTGGCATATAATTCCCACAAGTTTACCACAAGTTTAAGCGCTAAAATATACAGTAAACGCTTTCAACCGTTTGGATGATATAGCAGGCTCTCGTCGGTCGGCAAGAGCCTCCGTGAGGCGAGCTCCATCCACTCGTCTCTTTTCTCGGCAATCTACCCATGATGACTCGGCCTCTTCGACAACTCACGGCTCCACTCGTTCCGCAGCTGGCCTACCTCCACCTGTGCCTGTTTCTTCGTCTTTTACCAACGCTCCTCCAACGGCTCCCCTCTCCGACTCAGGTCTCCCCTCAACTAGTTCTCTGGACGCACCTCCACTCACCCCTCACTCTCACACGCATCCGCGAGCTTGGACTATCCAATCTCACTTTCGTTTTTGAAATCTTTTACATTTTGAACTAGACTTGACTAACGAGATTTAACGAGACGTCTCTTTTTGTTTCGTCGTTTTTTACCAGAGTTGAAAGCTACTAGAGTACCAAGAGCTACCAGAGTTGAAAGCTACTGGAGTACCAAGAGCTACTAGAGTTAAAGAATTATCTCGTTTCCTCGTTATCTCGTTTTCTCGATAAGCTTTTTGACCGACTTTTTCAAAAGAAAAACATGAGTGATTAGTATCATTAGATAGCTTAAAGTTTTGGCTTTTAAATAAAACTTCATTCATACTCTGGAGGCTAGATTAAGCGTCTGGACCTTGCGCGACTCATTTGTCTCGTTAACTCTTTAGCCAAGTCTATTTGTAGCCGATTTGCACGTCTCCTCCTCGCTTTCACGCATGTTTAGGAGCATCTCTTTTAATGTTCGTCCCTTTTCCAAGTCGTTTCTTACGTTTTTTTAAGAGAAATTTTTTGCGATTTTGATTTTTTTGTAGATCATTCAGGTCGAAGATTGGCTACGGGTAGACAGCGGCTTTTAAAGAGGGGATCACCACTCGGCGCGACACCGAATCTCGAGTCGAGTAATAAACGCCGACAGCAGGCTTCTTTCAGGTCAGTTGCTTTTTTTTCCAGTCAAATTTTTTTATCATTTCCCGCTTTCAGACTTCGCAAAGCTTCAAAACCACCGATGGAAGAGATCGAGAAAGATCCCGAGTCACAAGGTTGGTCTTTTTTCCCGTTTCGCTTTCATTGTCCCTTGCTTTTTTCACTAACCTGGCACTATCAGTGTGCTGCTAACTGTTTCCAATTTGTCTTTTTTTTTGTATTTCCTTTCTGGGCTCTATCTATGTTTTTGGGTTTAAAAAAGAATGAGAAAAAGCGCTTAAAAGACTTACACATTAACACCCCCCCCGGTTTTTTCAATGTAAATTTGGATGTGTCCTATATAGCGACGACGCCAACGGGAGGAGGTGCATTGGTAGCGATAGGTGGTGGCAGTGGTGGTGCTCAAACAGGGCAAAGTGCTCAAAGTGGTCATGGAGGAGTCGGTGCGCTGCGAGCTTGCTCACTTGTAGGGCTTGCGGGTCTGCGAACGGCACTGCATCACACGAATCTGCCGCTCGATTTCCCATCGTCGATGGCTAACACTACTCCCGAGCCCACACATGGAGGTGACCACAGATGAGGCCATGAAAAAATCCCGTTTTTTTTTTTTGCTTGCTCCCCTCCATTCTCATTCCAAAATCAATTGAATGCGCTTTTCCAAATCAACTCCGTGCATGCTCTCTCTAACTCTAACTCTAACTCTAACTTTAAAGGCAACTCGTTTGACTTTAAGGTCAACTCGTTTGACTGGCATGCTGGCTCTAATCTATAGTCCGTATGACATCATCTAAACCATCCCCTAACTAGTTTCTTAGCTCTTGATCTTGATGTTAATCTTGATGAAAAGAGTTATGTTCTTTTTATGATTTTGCATTTCAAACAACGTATAAAACTAATAATTTATGACTAAATTTATTCTTGATTGCCGATGCAACAATTTTAAAACAAAAAGATAGGTACACTACTGGACAATGAAATATGATATTTGAAAAAAGATCGTCACTTTCGCGCGTCTTTAACTCCCTTGTCTTTACCGTATTTCTAAATATTAATATTACCATTGTGTAGCCATTGAAAAGAGCTTTCAGAAAATGTCTAACACTAATAGTTTAAACTCAAAGACAAGGGGAGTTACAGACGCGCGAAAGTGACGATCGTTTTTCAAATATCATATTTCATTGTCCAGTACTGTAGATGACATCACATCATCTAGACCAGTAGATTTTGTTTCGTCTTTTGCTTCTTTTTACTTAGTTTTCTCTATCACTGTAATATTTAACTTTTTAAAAAAATAAAATGGCACCAGGTTGCTAATCGATTATCAAAAAAAAGCCAAATTGATCTTCTACATAGTCCAATCGAAAAATTGCTAAAAAAGTGAAATCTTCTCATTAAACGATTACCAGATACTTTGAAAAGCCGGTTTAATATGGGAAAAAAAAGAAACGAACAAACTATTAGAAGAATTTCTGTTTAAGACGATGGTCCAGCTGATGCGATATAAATAGCTATATATTGGTTTGGTGAATTGAAAACTGCTGGCTATTGTCATATGTGACAGTTTGAGCACTTTCTTCAAAAGAAACCCATTCTAGTGCCAATGGAAAAGTTGTAGAGAATCAAAAATCAAGCTTATATCCAAATTTTATTTACGGCAATTTATCTATCCTTTTGAGTTTTAAAATTTTTGCATTGGCAATTAAGAAGAAAAAGATTTTTATACGTTATTTAAAATGCAAATAAAAAGAATAAAACTTTTCATTAAGATCAAGATCAAGCGTTAAGAAACTATCGTAAATACTGTAATTGAACCCCACCCCCATAATGACGGTGCGGAGTGTTGCGTAGTCTAGCTTTGAACGAGTTTTTCTCGACACTGGTTTATGCTACAATGCGCGCTTAGGTATCAAAAAATAGCTGAAATTCAGGGCTATTTTTTGATATCAAAGACGCATTTTTTTGAAAGTAAGGGCGCTTTGAAAAAAATGAAATACTAAAAAACTTTTGCGACTACGCGACTGTACAAGGGCGGTGGGGTACTATTACAGTATTTACGGTACGTAGTTAGGTGGTCCAGATAATGTGATAGATGTATGTGTTTTTCCCATTCTTCTCAAATAATTTCATTTCGCTTTTGCATGTAAATGTTAGACTTCTTTAGAATAAAAGTATTTGTTTTCGTTGGAAAATAAAAAGATTTCAGTTTTACCGGCAATATCAGCATCGGGGAAAGAGAATTTGAGACCGACAATGGAAGAAGCACCAGTTAGTCCATCTTGTGATCCGGTGCCAACGTCTTCCCAAACTGGATCTGGAGTCTATCAGGTTTGAAAGATAGAAAGATAAAAATGTTTTTTTGTTTAAGAGACGAGATAAGCCAGCCTCTCATGATGACGAAGAAGAACATATGGCTAATAATATGCCATGGTTGAAGGTAGGATTAACAGAAGAAGGGAAAAAAATAAAGATTTAGATTGTGATGAAGTTCACAAACAGTCTTGATCTCGATTGCAATCATGAAAGTGCTTGTTCGCCTCGTTGCTTTGAGAGAATCGCTCGTCAATGCAATCGTCTATTAGAAGCTGTTGCTTTTGTTTACGGGGATAAAAAGTAAGAAAGACTTTTAGAATAATGTTAAGATTTTTTAAAAGATTAAGATGTTAAGATGTTAGATGTTAAGTTGTTTTAGACCTGGCACGGAAAGAGTTGACAGACGGAGATTGATGTTTGACAAGTGGAATCTCGAGCAACAACATATAAGAAGGGTTGGAGTTATCTAACTTTTCTTTTATATTGGATTGGTGAATTGAAAACTGCTGGCTATTGCCATATGTGACAGTTTGAGCACTTTCTTCAAAAGAAACCCATTTTGGTGTCAATGGAAAAGTTGTAGAGAATCAAAAATCAAGCTTGTATCCGAATTTTCAGAACGATTCAAAAACTGATTTTCAAGAAATGCCAAATTTACGAATTTTCACAAAACTTGCAACAAATCTTGGATTTTAAGCGAAACTACTAAGTGTATCTTTTTGGAAATTCGGATACAAGCTTGATTTTTGATTCTCTACAACTTTTCCATTGACACCAAAATGGGTTTCTTTTGAAGAAAGTGCTCAAACTGTCACATCTCTAGTCCTCCATTTTTGAGTCTCACACTTGTCTCACACACAAACCAAAATCCTACTATGAAAGAGGAATCCTCAAATTGCCTGTAAAATGGGCAGAAGTCGTCAATAATAATGGAAATTATTTGGAATGAATTGATGATTTTATGTTGAATAAATTTTAGTTCAAAGTTCGGCAGTTTTCAATTCACCGACCCAATAGTAAACCTATTGATTGAAACTTTAAATAGAAAGCAATGGATGGCCAAAAAGTTTTCAAAAGTAAAAAGAATTTAGTGGGACTCACGCGGGGGTGCGTCGAGTTCTCTGCCAACTGTGGGGTCCTCATCATCATTGGGGGCGGAGAGGAGTCGGCACTCCTCGCGCAAATCACACCGTCATCGTCCCGCTGTCCCTAAAATGGTCCCTCTATTGTAGAATGAGAGAAGCACTAATCCCCTCCACTGCCTTTATCAAATTCTTCTTCTTTGCTTGCTCGCATAGATCCGACTTTTCTGTAAAAAACGCTGACAACTCAACACTCATCTAATCCGCATTTGAAACAGCAGCACAATGACTCTCACTAAAGCTTAGAAATTAAGCAGCAATTGTTGTTTTTTCTCTTCCACTCCCCACTGTTTCCCCCACTATCAGCAATAATCAACCAAATACTCACAACAAAACATCACTAATAACTCCTCTTTATTATTCTAACCATAACAACTTTTGTAAAGCTAAAATTTAGTCTCTACATTCACGACAATCGGCAGCTGTTCCAAGAAGAGAAAGTGCTATGACTGGAGTTCATTCTGAACGCTCAAGCATGGCTATTAAGGTAAAAAAAAAAAGATGAAAAGATTAAAATTAAAATTTTAGACCTTATTAATGGAAAAGATGTTGCAAGAAAAAGCTGAAAAGGAAAAAGAAAAAGAAAAAGAGGATTCAATGTCGAAGAAGATTAGTGTGGTAAAAATAAATTATTGAACTAAACGAATTGTTTTAGCAAGAAGCTGATCGGATCTCGGAAGAAGTGCCTGATGTTTCGGAGATGTACGAGAAGAATCAGGAGATGTTGGCTTATCTCCGAAATAGCGTAAGGACTCAAGAAGAGGTGAAATCAAATTCTTTTAGGTGTTGGGCTTGGTTCATTCTCCGTTGTCGATTTCCCTGAAAAGTGCTTTGCTATTATCGACGGACAACTTTCGTGCACTCATCGGAGTCTCTTGGAAGCTTTTGCTCAATGAAGATCCTCATGTAGTTGTTGCAGCAGGTTGTGAATTAGTTTATTGTCAATTCTTAGTTTATTACTTACAAGCTGATAAGAGCCAACTCACGGCGGCTCTTATCAGCCACCGTGAGTTGCCTTGGGTGATAAACCAACGTGAGGCCGCTCAACGTTGGTTTATCACCCAAGGCCTTCTACCCAGCCCAACATTAGTGTGTTTAAATCAAAAAATTTTGAAAAAACGAAGGGACTATCGAGAGAATCGAACCCGAAACCCTTCACTCTGGCGCCGGTCTTAGAGACGAGCGCGCTAACCACTCGGCCATACTGTCACAGCGTTAGGCTTATAAGGCGATGTAATAACTGCTCGCACCACAAAAAGGGCAGCGGTGAGGCCTCGATTTTAACTTAGAATTTCTAAGGGCATGATTTTAGAAAAAACGACTAAGCCAAATAAAAAGTGGCAAAACAAAAAAGTCTTGGATTTTGGTGTTGAGGCTTATTTTCTCCAGGTCCTCCATTTCCCACCAAAAGTGTGACGGAGATTTGATTTTTTTTAAAGATATTAATGCTTTTTAGCATCTATGTTCATCGTGGCCTCAGTGAAGCGATCGGATGACGCGGTGACGGTAATTCGCGCAGCGATTGATTCCACTGATCCGACTGAGAGAGCGGGAGCTGTTCAAAGATTTTACGCACTCTGGAGAAATCGTTTTCATGTTTGGCTAAAGATGGAAGACGGAGCACAAACTGTTTTCAAAGTCGCTTGATCCTCCTCTAACTTCAAAGATTAACTTTACAGGTACCACCACCTGGCATTGATTTCACTTTACCCTCTCCTCCAATCGGTCAATCACAACTTGCTGTTGTTGATCCTCCATGGATGCCACATTTGAAAACAAAAGTTGAAGAGCTTAGCTTGAAAGAAGAAGAACATCAAACGGTAAAGAAGTTAAACTTGAAAAGTTTTGAACTTGAGAAGTTTTGCAGTTGAGAAGTCTTTAACTTGAAAAGTCTTGAACTTGGAAAATCTCTTTAGTCACAAACAATCATGACAATGACGAGAACAAGGAGAAAACAAAAACAAGAAATGGTGAAAAGAGCGGTAAGAGAAGCCGAAGAAAGACAATGCGAGCAGCGACAAGCTTTTCAAGTAAGGAAATTCAAGTAAGGAAAAATTCTGAAATGCAAGAATTTAGCTACGAGGTAGCGCAATTGTACAACAAGGAGCCTACGAGCCAGCACTTTTCCACCATCAACAGGAAACAAACGAGGGTGAGAATGAGAAAAATGAAGCAGGAGTATCGACGAAAAATGATATCAATTCCAGAAAACGAAGCCGGTCACGGACATCCGCCTCGTCACGTTCTCCCTGTTGCTCAGCCACTTTTCCCCTCAGCTCTTCTCTCTGTTGTACCACAAATCATCGAGCTTCTTGATGATCCGCAAGTTGATAAGACTGGTGTATCAGGTTCATTTTTGTCCTTAATCGTATCAGATTTTAAGCTTTAATTCTCTAGAAGAAGCTTTAATTCTCTAAAAGTTTAGTTGGTGATGTGGCAAAGAAAGTGATTTGGGCATGCATTGTTGAAGAACCATCACTTTTCCTTCGCCATTTCCTTGAGCGACTCACCAATCGAGATCGACAAGTACAATTTTTTGAATTTTTACTTGCAAATATCATACCGTAAATGCTGTAATAGAGCGACCATCTATATGAAGCGTTGCGTAGTCTAAGCTTACTCTCAAATAAATGCTCATATCTCGGTACCAGTACGTTTGTTTCTGCGCGCTTAGGGTATCAAATTAAAGTCGAGAGGATGGGTGATTTTTTGAGATATACAACATATTTTTGGCATTAACCAGCGCTTAGAAAAAAATGGTTGAAAAGTGCCAAAAAGAGCCGATTTTCGTCACTTTTCAATCATTTTTTTCTAAGCGCTGGTTAATGCTAAAAATATGTTTTATATCTCAAAAAATCACCCATCCTCTCGACTTTAATTTGATACCTAAGCGTGCAGAAACAAACGTACTGGTACCGAGATATGAGCATTTGTTTGAGAGTAAACTTAGACTACGCAACGCTCCTATAGAGGGTCGCTCTATTACAGCATTTACGGCATCTTTGCACAGATCTTTGTTCAAGTCCCCGTCAAATTTCTGCTTCTACTTTATTTTCAAAAAGTCTTCCTCTATGGCTTACTAATCCCTTTTGTAGACTAGCTTCAGTCTTCAATCAGACAATAGTTCAGCTTTCTTTTGTATGTAGAAAATAGCACCATATTCGTAGTTCATTTTTTTTTCTCTTCTCAATCGTGTTAGCACTGTCCACTCCTATGTTTTTTTACAGAGTCCATTGGCCACCGATTTTCGGCCGACACCCAATTGGGTAAGTGTTTTACGTTCGAGAACAAGGCTTTCTGGGATTTCAAAGAGACTTCAGCTTTAAAGCAATTTCAAATTTCTATCCAAAGTTCAACTTTTGAAATAGATTTGAATCTATTTCAAAAGTTGAACTTAAATAGAAATTTGAAGTTGCTTTAAAGCTGAAGTACAGTATTTTGATTTTGTTTTGATTTTGTTTCAAAGTTGAAGCCAGCCAGTTTCCAAGCATGTTTTGTCCCTTTGTCTTTATCATAAAATCAGAATGACGAATGTTTTTTTTTTCATTTTTTCATTGATCGATTCATATTTTATTTTTTTTTTCAGGAGCATTTGATTTCTCTTCTCCGCAAACTCATCCTTCGATTTAAACCGTTTCCCAGTCAAGCAGCCTATTCACTGCTCAATTATTTGGTTATAGAAACAAAACATGAAATTTCCAATAGAATGTTTTTAGTTTGGCTTCGTGATGCACTATGTACGATCAGCTTGTGAAGGAGCTGACAAAGCGTTGGGTGAGAATCGAGGTTTCTCTCTAAATTTCAAAACTAAATTTAGGTATGGCGCTGTCATTGACATGGCTCTTGGCACCTCACGTCAATGGTCTTTACTTCAAAGATCTCAAGCAAACACTCAAGAAAGAACAATGCGATGTAGGGTTTTTTGAAAAACATTTCTCATTTCAAATGTTTAGCAAGCTTTAATGATCACGGCAAATGTACCCTCAGCAAAGAAAATCGTTGTTCATGGGCCGGATTCGGGCGAAGGCGGGATTCCATCTCAATTCCCCGTTCATGAAGACACGCAATTCATTCAAATCCTCACTGATAGCTTAGAGTAAGTCTTGCAAAAGAATCAACTCATTAACTAAAAGCTCAATCATTTGTTCTACTAACTAACGAAGCAAGTATAACCAAGTATTCTCCCTAATATTCGGTACTTGCAAAAGAAACTGCCGATTATAATGAAATAGTCTACCAAATTTGTTTTAGTTTTTTGCAAATAGCTTCTGATCTGATAATTTAAGTTTCCTCAAAACCTTTGTTATAAGTTTAAGCCGCCGCCAAGTCTTTTTCTGTCTAGAAACGTTCACTGCAGAATTCTTTTCATATCATTAAAAAGAGAAGATATTGGGGTTTCTAAAAATACTAATCAACCTGGATCATCTTTACTTACAGTCGTTGTATGACCGTTTTTATGATCCGCAGTTTCTTTTGCAAGTACCTAATAGTCTTGCACCTGAAGCTTCGCCTAAATTCCTCGAAATCTCGAAAAGCGCTTATCAGAGCCTATCGATGTGGGGTCGGAAAATGTAGCTGACGATGAGATCTAGTGGGGGATTTGAGTGTTGAGCTTCTGCAAAAGCTTGGAAACTTTAAAGTAGTCATCAACTCGGCTCGGTGCAAAACTATTGCAAAAACAAAAATTAGTGCAAAACTAAAACCAAAACTAACACTAAGCAACTCTTCATATTCGTTGATTTAAGATTTTTCAATATCGAAGAAGAGCTTGATCACTATTTCCTCGCTGATGCCAAAACCGGAGTCCTACATGTTCCATCAGCTTACGTCCGAGATTTCTACTTTTTCCATCGATCTTTCTATCCGCAACTCACGCTTCTCCGAATGGGACCCGAGGAGGCGGCTCGACGAATGAAAGCATCAGCGTTTGCGATGAGATTTATCGATGTCGGTAAAGTTCTCCTCACGCACAACATCCTCAGTCACAGTCCACCAAATGTGGTCAGTTTTCAGCTCTCAATCTTTAATTGTCAAGAGAAATGTTTCAGATTGCTCAACGAATATTTTTCCTTCACGACGAGTTGACACATTTGCCGTCATTTCCTCGGAAAGCTCTTGAGGCTTGCTTTGGCATGTACTACGGTGATGGGGGTCTACAGTTGAAAGAAGTTGACGCTATGCACAAATTCGTTTGGGCAAAAGTGAGTCAATCAAAAAGTGCATGCGTTTTTCATTAAGTTGATGATACAATTTGAGTAGTTGATTTTAAAATTTCTTTAAAACAAACTAACAAACTAACAAAGCAAAAATAAGGGGGTGGGACAAATGCGACCTTTTTTTGCGCACCTGGACATTTGCGCACCTTTTTTTTGCTGGAAAAGCCCTTAGGCAAGGCCGTAGAGCTTCAAAAACGTTTTCATAGAAGGGAATCGTATGCGTACATTCAGAATTTTGACAAATCAGACCTCGCTGACACGTCAAATTTGGGCTAAAAGGCAAAAACTGCGGAAAAGCGTTAAGTTGCGTATTTTTTTTTTATTTTTTTTTTTTTTTTATTTTTTTTTTTTTTTTTTTTAAAAAAAAAGTTTTTAAAAATTTTTGGGAAAAAAAAAGGGTATTTTTTTCCCCAAAAATAAACAAAAATAAACAAAAATCAACAAATAAACAAAAGTTTGACAATGAATTTGACCAAAGAGAAACAATGATGTGAAATGTGGGATAAATAGGGATACGGTAGAAGGTCCGCACTTTAGAAAACGCTTTAATCGGTGGGAAATGATTTAAAGCAATTATTCTATTCCCATGAAATAAACAAAAACTTTTAGATGATGAGCGACATGTTTGAGAAAATGGAGAACGCGTTTATGTTTGCCGATCTGCATCTTTTCATCAACGTTGTTAATGGTACGGCAATTTCTGATCGTTCTCCATAATATTCTTGAGCATTTAGGGATCATGATCATGCACTGTGAGGACATTTTGATCTTGCGTCGATGCGCGGCCACCTACATCACGATGAGCATTCACTTCAACACTCTTTTCGCATCACAGGTTTTTTTCTGATCAAATGAAAGATTTCAAAGATCTTAACAATCTAAATCTATAGTAAATTTCAATCCAAACCTAATTCCATCTTCGTTTTCTCGACCGTTTCTTTCGACCGACGATTTCTCCGAGTTTATCTAAAAGCTGAAAGTTCGATTTCTATCTGTAGACAAAATTTCAGAGAAATTGGCTAAGAAACGAAGATATTGGGTTGGTGGAAAAGTCCTTTCGATTTTTGGGAGAGTACCTTAAATTTGTCCAATTTTGACGTTTTATAGCTCATCCTAAAGCTGAATTCAAGACGGATCGATTGGTAAAAACCGTTTTGAGATATCTCTTTTCTAAAAGTTTTTACAGCTACTTTAGTAAAGGGCGGCAGAGCCGTCTTGAATTCAGCTTTAGGATGAGCTATAAAACGTCAAAATTGGACAAATTTAAGGTACTCTCCCAAAAAATCCGAAAGGACTTTTCCACCAACCCAATAGAATTAGGTTTGGATTGGAATTTCTAATCTAATCTATAGGGCTTTTTCCTCATCATGCCAACTCTGCTTCGTTGCTATTCACAGAGACAAACGAATCGAGTTTTTTGCGGAGTAGTCGAGTTTCTTTGTCGACAATTCTACACTCTTCATCGAAAGCCGTTCATGTTACAAGTATCCAGAACATTTTAAACATATTCCAATAAGTTCTAGATGTGCGGCTCGGTCGCAACAATCCTTGATCACAACAATGACGACTTTCAAATCAATCCGATGAGGGTGAAAGCAAAAGTGAGAGTTGAAAAGCTCGAATCTAATCCTTTAAAGTTTAGTACTGGTTTGCTTTGCTGAAAGCGATGGAAGACATGAACGATGAATCGGATCCACTCGACATTCTTGGTCTTGTACCCCATCCAAAACCACTTAAAGCACTCGATCTATGCTATCGAGATGATGCGAATTCGTTTTGTCTTCTCACTGATGGACTTGCTTCTTGTATTTGCGTGTGCGCGTTTTCACCTGAAGGGAAAAGAAGTCATCACATGCTGGTTAGTCTTCAAAATTTTGCAATTGAAGCTGAACGAGCTAATTGATCTTCTTGCGCTTGGGTCTTTGTATTAACTGAAAGTTGATTAAAAATAGAGACAACTTAAAGTCAGCTTTTGTATAAAGGTAGTTTTTATATAAAGCCAGCTTTTGTATAAAGCCAGCGTTTATATAAAGGTAGTTTTTATATAAAACCAGTTTTTAGTTAGTGATGCAAGCTCTATTACCTCATATCATTCGAAGAGCTGAAGAAGAGTCACTCGAGGAGAAGAACGGCGCAGCGGCGATTCGTCGAGAGATTCAAATGCATGGGATTTTGGCTGTCGAGATGAAAACACTGATTAACAGCTGTGAAGCGCTAGCTAGGTGAGATAAAACTAAAAAAAAGAGTAAAAATTCAAATTAAACAACATGGTTCCAATATGGTTCGGATATGGTTCCAATATGGTTCCAATTCAATTCCAGGGGTCCGCAGAGAACCTTTGACTTGGTGAACTCGGTGTCTGAACGCGGGAAATCATTCATCGCCGACTCTCCGCAATTCTTCGATCCACCAACCACAAATGACGATGAAACAATCGCGAAACCATACAATTTGTAGGTTTTCTCGCATTTGAACACATTATCATAAAATCTTCCAGTCTTGAAATATTTTATCAAAGTTTTAGGTAAGTTTTAGTATTTCAAAAAACCTCTCCAGCTATTCTTTTAGTTTTTCTCTCTTCAAATAAGTCTTTGTTAGAGTGAAATCACAAAAATTGATAATTTCTTGTGAAAATTTTCAGTCAAATTCCTCACAAAACACTTTTATCTTTTAGCAAAGAGAAAAAGTCAACCGTGATCGGCTGGGAGGCGGCTGATGTGGAGGAGCAACAAAAAGAGACTTATCGACGACCACGAGACACACTTTTAACACTAGGTAAGTGTTTTTGGCACAATATCACAGCCAATTATCACAATATCACTGATCCGTGCAGTCAAAGAGGGCTCAGTGCCCGCTCAGTGCTCAGTGCTCCACCCTCCACAATCCTCTATCCATCGAATATTACTAGAGAGCACAATGCATACAATTTTAGCCTAAAATTTTCATAAATTTTTTGTATTTCTTTTTAGCTGCCACTTATATCGAGTTGGCCACTCCTCGCTTAAAAGAACTCACCAAATTGGCCGCTTCATTGGAACACGTGAAAATCCCCGATGTACTTGATCATAAATGTCATGTGGTTTGGGAAAAGTTGCCAATTTATCAAATGTTTGCTTAGAAATTGAGCGAAATCGCATTGGCTTTACTGAAAATTGCTCCTTATGATCTGAACACCATGTCTTGTATTGGATTACAGAAGTGAGTTGTCTTGAGTTCGATGAAAACATATACACTACTGGACAATGAAATATCATATTTGAAAAAAGATCATCACTTTCGCCCGTCTGTAACTCCCTTGTCTTTACCGTATTTCTAAATATTAATGTTACCATTGTGTAGCCATTGAAAAGAGCTTTCAGAAAATGTATAACACTAATAGTTTAAACTCAAAGACAAGGGGAGTTACAGACGCGCGAAAGTGGCGATCGTTTTTCAAATATCATATTTCATTGTCCAGTACTGTAAGAATGTAAAAACAAAAAACACCTCATGCAGATATTTCCTTCACGTGCTCCCGGTGACCGATTGGTCGATTGAGGCAAATCGTTCCGCGCTCAACATCGTCTTGCGAAGACTGGATAAGACGATTGCGAAAATCGCCAAGAAACAGGTACAGCAAGCCAATGTAGTAGAATGTTTTTACGATAGAATTGTTCAGAGCATTCGTCGACGCGTCTCGTGGACGGCATTGGCTCATTGGCTAAATGGTTTATGCGACACACTATCCGCTTTCCCATATATTGCACATCTACACGCGTTGAAGGTACCAAAAATCGTTGCTTTTCAATATTACAGAATGACGCAGATAAAAAGCTAGAGAAAGCTAGAGAAAGCTCGAGAAAGGTAGAGGAAATTAAACTAATAATAAGCCATTGTATCTAAAATTATTCTACTCTATTTATTCTAGACGACCACTCAAATGTGTGTGCGCATTATGGTGGGTGATCCGTGCAGTGAAGAGGGCTCAGTGCCCGCTCATCCACCCTCCACAATCCTCTATCCATCGACTCCGCAAAAAGATTTTTGTCAAGCAACTCTTCGCTTGACCACCATCTTGATGCAAGCTTTGGGACAAGTTAGTTAAATTTTCAAACTAAGAATCAATCATTTTAGTTTGCTTTCTCTTTGGAGCAAGTGTGTTCGGTGGAGGGGATGGGAGTAAGTGCGGAAAGAGTCGAAGCCGTTCTCGTTCATGTACTCATCCCACTTTTTCTCAGAGCAGCAATTCCATCTAAAGGTAGAAAACGATTGAAAGTAATAAAACAAAAGCAAATAAACCAATGAAACAAAGAAAAGACAATTTAGAAGCCTCGGTGATTAAAGAACGCGATCTGATCTTTTGCCTGGCTCTCATGCAAAATGCAATCTCGCCACCAATCGGTAAACAATCGGTAAGCCTTCACAATTGATTCTGTTTTGAATATAGCATTTAAATATTTATTTCCTTCTTTTCCTTATTTATTTCCTTATTTCCTTCTCTTTCTTCCTTTCCCCCTTGTATTTCCTCTTTCTTTTCAAGAAGACACCAAATAGCTCAGTGATTAAAGCAAAAAGCAAAAAGATCCCTCTCCAAAAGCAAAAAGGAAACCAAAAAGGAGAGCAAAAAGGCCCCTCTCCAAAAGGTTCAATTCCGCGCTCCAGAAATCTTTCTTTGCCATTCCTTACTTTATAGCACTTATTCAGTAAATTTAAAAACCAATGAAATTTAGCAAGTTGCCCCGCTTGTCTCCACATCAACATTGGCCACCACATTCATTCGAGGTCAAGGACATGGTAAAACAAAGAAAAAAAACCAAAAACAAGAAATTGCAGACTTGAGCGGTCGTCAGGGATCAGTCTCTGTCACTGATCGTGGCCATTCCGCCACCGTTTCCACTCATCGAATCGTTCGCGAATCTGTTTGTCAATCGGTTTTCCTTGGTCGGTTTTGACAATTTTTAAAGGAAACTCATCATTTTAGCTTTAAAAGTGATGATGCTGTGCTTTGGCCGCTTGTTGGGCCCACTGTGGCCACGGGTGAATCGACTAGTTAAGGTTTGAGATGAGAATTTGTTGTAGAGAATTTCGAAATTTTAGGATCTCTTGAATAAGAAAGCTGGTGGTCAAGCAGCGAGCGCTTTCGTTGAATTCGTTCTTCACTCAAATTTACCAATCTCATTGCTAATTTTGCCTACAATTCATGCAAAGGTAAAGTGCTTTTATCTAAAAGGTAATTGTTTTTATGATTAGGTGAAGAATCGAACAGCTGAAGGGGCGGCAACAGCAGAAACATCGGCTTCCTGGGTTATCGAGGTAAGTCTGACTCTAGCTAGAACTAGTAAATCGTTCTTTAGATCAAATAGATTCTAATAAAAAAAAGATTCTAACTACAGAAACAAGTATAGCTTTCAATTTTAGATGGGAGAGAAGTTGAGTCGAATCCCTCGAGCCGCACTTCCCCTATCCGTTCTCATACATCGCTGCACCCATGAGCTCATCGCACTCAAAGAAGACTTCTCCACTAAGCCACTTGGTAAGAAAATGTGCTCAGATGTTAGATCTTTCAATTCTAGAAGTGAATCGCTCCTACACGCCAACAATGGCCGATCCACACAGTGACTCGTCAACAGCGTCACTTGCCGCTCACAAAACACCGCTCAAGGGTAGCACGGATCGACGAGCGAGTAGCGGCCTTGCAAAGGCACGATTAGGGAGTGCGCCACAAGCAAAGGTTTAAATTATGGAATAAGTAAATGAACAAAGTATAGGATGAAATGATCACCGGAGTTGGTTCTTCAACGATTCCCGAAGATGTTGAAGATGAAGGAGGAGAGGTCACGGCAACTTCTGCGCCAAGAGTTACAAAAAGCCCGTCGGTTCCGCTCAATAAAGTAATGGAAAGAAAGAAATTTGAGAAGAAATTTTGTTGATTCAGTTCGGCGTTTCACCGAGAACACGCTCGATGAGCGGATTTGGCGTTTGGAGGAGTGTGAGGCGACGATCGAGAAATGTTTCAACGGAGAGTGAAGCCGAGAGTGAGAGAGGCGTTGAAATGTCTTCACTTGGTCCATCCACCGCTTCATGGACACCGCTTCAAATCGCTGAAACGGCTACAAAAAGTTGGTTTGCAACAAAAGGAAGGCTTTAACAAACAGTTATTTTTACCTGCTTTGTAAACAATCATAAGCAAAGCAAAGTCTTCAAAAAGGACAGCTTCGTAGCTGTCCTTTTTGCATTAAATGGAAAAGTATGAAAAAATTTCAGCTGAACTAGCAACGAGTCTCGTTGGTGGACGAAGATCGACCGAAGGACTCGTTCTCCCACTCGACACTCAACATCGACATCGATGTAGAAAATTTTTTTAAAATGCATCAGAAAACAAAAAGAGTCAACAAGAGACGGCTGGTGGGATTGAACCTCTGACCTTTCGCCTAAGATTAGCCAGTGAGCCATGGCGGCCAGCATGATCAAAAGCAGAAATACAAATAAAACAGATGCAAGAAATTATAAAGATTATATAAAACAGACCTTGTAAAGTTAACAGCCGAAAAACCGGTTGAAGAGCAGGTTTTTCCGGGTGAATTTTACTGTGGCAGTGGTGCAGTCAGGAAAGGGGTGGGTCGCAGCTACAGCTCGCAGGGTCTGAGTTCGGGCCGCCACGTAGCCACACTCGATTTTGACTTTTTCAATTTTTTTTTGACTCAAAAAAAGCCCATACAAGCCCTTACACGGGCAGATAATGGCTCTTTTATATATACAGTGCCGGACAAAAGTTTAAGAACATGACCTCAAGTTATGGAAAAAGCTCAATATCTTTTAGAAGTTGAAGAATTTCATTTAGGTCTTAAAAGCATTTTTGTTTGTCTCAATTTCAGGAATTAACCACATTTTATAACAGGTCACAAATCTAAATACAAAAAAGTCTTTGAGACTTTACAGGAAAGAGCCGGTATTCTAGCCGGACAAAAGTTTAAGAACAAACATTGTTTTAATGCAATATTTCATTTTTCATTGATTTTTTTTGGCATTTATCAAAATCAATTTTCAGTTGTTTCCTTTTCGACTCCAAAAACCGGACGAAAAGAGGAAGAAACTTTCCAAATCATTGAACATCAGCACGTTGTTTAGAGCTTTTTTCTGATAGAGTTTTTCTAGATTTACAAGACTTTTATCACTCAACACTGGTGCCAAATCGTTTTTATTTGTTGGTTTTTTTTTTTGGAAATTTCCATTTACTTTCCAAAGCTCATTTTCTCGGTCTTTTTTTCCCGTGATTTTTACATATTTTGGTGACTCTTTCCTGGCTTTCAGAAAAATTTTTTATTTCAAATAAAATATTTTATAACAACAACAAACAAATGGGGGATTGAATTTTACAAAGAAAAAGAAAAAAAAAATCAAACGACTATCACTAACATTTGTCGTGAAAACACGGAACACCGTATCTGCGCATAGGAATTAAAAGTAATTTAAGAAAAACTGAAATATTGATAGTTTAAGAAGAAGTTTCCTTATTTTTATAGCTCTCCGTGTTGTTGTTGATGAGATTTGAGTTGAGCTTCTTGTAAAGCGACAATTGCTGAAGAGAGAGACGAAGTGTTCGCGCTGAAAGGAAATCTTTATGAAAAAGAAATGACAGAAACTTGATTATTGACTGCTCTTCTATAAGAAAATTGATTATTAACTGCTCTTCAATAAGAAAATTGATTATTATTTGTCTTCTAACTCACTGATCAGACATGAGAAGCCAAATCTGGATGAAAAACAAGAACCCGATCGCCCAAATGAGTGCTCGTTGACCGGCCGCCAATCTCTCCACTTCATCTTGTAAGTTCAGCGGCTAAAAGTTTGATTTTCTTAAATGAATTGAAGTTTATTTATTTTCTATTAATTACTTCAATTCTTACTTGTTTAAGTGTTTCTCTCTTTTGGTCGATTTGCGTGTGTCCATTCACCGTTCCGTTCTGTTCTCCGGGTGGTAGATTCACTCGACATTTCAGCTTTTGCTCGACTTTCTTTTCTGGTTTTGCTTCCTAAATATATATTCTTTGTTTAAAAGATAATACAAGCGCAGCTTTATAAACTTTATAAACTTTATAAACTTTATAAGCTTTATAAGCTTTATAAGCTTTATAACTAGTAACTCACTTTCCACAGATCGCTGAATTGTTCGACACTTGTGCTTTCCGTTTCTAGACCTAACAACAAAAACTTCTCACGGCTCGCTGATTGTCTGTATTCTGTAAAAACTTGATGAAGTTTTTAAAACAAATCTATCATACCATTTTGAAGATAAACTCGAACAGATTCAGTGACTCCAGCAGGGATCAAACCAGTCGAGGGACGAACACGAAATTTCTCTGGTGAAGTCGTTTTAATCTGGAATTGAAATACTAAAAAATTTAAGTTAAGGTAAGCGAATTAAAAAAAACGTTAAAAAGTTTCCCAAACTAACTTTGAACATAACATTATTAGATCCGGTGTTTCGAATGGCAACCAAATCCACGTAATCGGTGTCTCCCTCGAGTCGTTGTAAGAAAAGCTCTTCGCGAGGGCTAAAAAAAATCTCTTTTTCATTGTCATTCAAGTCATTTTTAATTTTAAACTAAAATCACAGAATTACTATATTCTATAAAAAATAATAAACTAGAATGGCAACCAAAGATGTTAGATCATAGATTTTCAATGTAAATAAGTCGCACCTGGTTGCCAGAAAGGCGTTTTTCACCCAGTCAGAGTCTGGCGCGTGAACTCTTCTCTCGGCCATTGGTCGCAGATTTTGTGGCATTCCAGATCTTGATGAGGATCTAGAATTTGAAATTTTACATTTAATTTTAGAGTAGGCTATCCTTTATCTTTCAAATAAAACTGTATCTTTCAAATAAAACCTTTTTGTTGGAGCTCCCCGACTGCTGGATCGTCGGCTAACAGTGAGCGGTGCTTTCCTTCCAGTTTCATCCTCATCATCATCAAATTTCACGGTCTAAAGTCAGGTTTTAAAAGAAGAATTTTTTTAAAAAATTACCAAATTTTGACAGCTATCAAAACGTTGTATTAATTCAGGCATTTTTTTTCGAGGAAAAGAATTTAGAGGAGAAGAAAATTTTGAAGGAGTAGTGATAGGATTGAAGGAGGGGCTTTTCGATAAAGAGAAAAGCCTAGTCCGAGTTGAGAAAGAGGAGATGAGTTGAGGGAGATGAAGAAGTGTCGACCCGGGCACACACACTCATCTTGTTACACACCAAATGAGACCGAGACTCAGACTCAAAAAGAGATCGTCACACACTCTTTTCTTGGACATTGCGGAACGGGATCAACTCCTCTTTCGCTTTCTCTTTCTCTCTCTCTCTTTCCACTTATCTCCCCTTTCTCTTTCTCTTTCACTTTCTCTCTCTCTCCACTTATCTCCCCATTGCCCTTACTAGTTCTGCTTTTGAAATTCAATTAGGAGAAACTGGGAGAAATTTTTCCAAGCTGCTTATAAAGCTACTGTCTGTCCTGGTCACTTTCTTTCTAATCCATAAGTTGAAAAGTTAGTTACCGTGACTAAAATAGTATGACATGCCTAGAGGAGCATCGCGTAGTCGTTTTCGTTAAATAAATTCTAATTAAATACCCTATTTTCTCTAATAGTAGTGCACCCCGGCGAGCCGAGTTGGTGACTATTTTACGGTTTCCAAGTTTTCACAGAAGCCCAACACTCAAATCCCCCACTAGATCTCATCGTCAGCTACATTTTCCGACCCCACATCGATAGGTTCTGATAAGCGGTTCTCGAGATTTTGAGGAATTTAGGCGACGCTCAGCGTGCACTATTAGAGAAAATACGGTAAATAAAAGTATTTCAATAAATCATTTTTTCGCGAATCTCTGGACCGATTTTATTTTAAAAATAGAGAAATAAGGCAACCATTTTTTAGAAACAAACCATAAAATTGGTCTAGAAGCTTGCGAAAAAATGATTTACTGCAGAAAAAAACGACTACGCGATGCTCTTCTGGACATAACACACTATTAGGAAAAAAATACGATAAATGTTTGCATCAAAATTTCCTCTTTTTAAAGTCCAAGTTCAACAAAACATACGCATTTTTTGATTAGAGTGGTCAGCTTGTGCCTCTCTAACAACTTATGCTTGTTACACCCCCGTTCAGCCACAACAAATTTTGATTTCCAGCTTGAGTTTCGATTTTCTTGGTCTGTACCACTACAGACCAAGAAAATCGAAACTCAGAAAATCGAAACTCAATTTGTTGTGGCTTTAAAATTCAAAACAAAGACCAACCCGTTTAACGGGAAAAGAGTCAAGATCGGGTCGAGTGTCGGGCTGATCGTCGTCGAGGAGCTCGGCCAGTGATTCGCGCATTGGACTGAGCTTTTGTGGGACACAACGCGCCAACTCTTCCATAGAGAATGTCCACTCGTCCTGAAAAACAAGTTTTCCATATTTTTAGATTAAACCTTTAGCTCACCAGTCCACCCATGTGCACCGGTAGATTTGTATATGGGATGTACTGTTGAACGGATTCCCGGGCTACTTGATGGATTTGCGGATGGCCAGCGCCAAGCCACGATCGAATGACCTATATTTTCATCATGTCTACTAGCTTTGGTACAAGAAAAAATAACCTTCCAGCTGGCATTTAGTATCGACGGTGAATCGAAAATGATAATATCTTGTACGCAGAGTGGATAGTAGAATTTGAGAGCATGGAGAATGAATTTGAAGAGATCAAAATCCTGAAGTGGTTCTAAATTTGTCATTTCGTGTAGAGTTACCATATTTTTAACAGAGCATCCAGTCATATCAACGACAAGTGTTAATGGAGAGCCACGAGTGGCGAAATAATGTCTTTCCAACCAATAGACGAAGAGTTGCTCGGAGACACGATCGCCCGGACGGTGTTCCCGCATTTGGATCCATACTGCAATTTGCCATCAAAAAGCTATTCACTTTGAGTTAAACTGTGGATAAGCTACCTTAGTCTGGCCTAATTTTTGCGGTATTTAAGCCATTTTTTGTACTTTTCTTTTGATCCTCTTCTTCAGTTTTTTTGTGAGAAAGTTTTCTCTAAATTTTTATCTATAAATCTGTTTATTTTTTCAGTTAGCTTGTGCTCGCTAGCTGTTTTGTCAGTTTTGACAGGAATTGTACTCTGTCAAAAGCTTGCTTCTGTTCTTGAAAGCTTAGAAATTACACAGAAAGTAAACTCAAGTCACGACAGGAATTGCTAGTCAGCCTTTAGACTACTCTAATTGTAGTTCAAAGTAATCTAGCGAAGTGTTTAGAATACGGATCGAGAAATCTTCAAGAAATCTTCAAAAAATCAATTCAATCCTAGTCTATAAAACTTTGATAAGAATAATGATAAGCGAGTCAACACTTGAATGATAAGCGAACATACCGTAAATACTGTAATAGTACCCCACCCCCATAATGACGGTGCGGAGTGTTGCGTAGTCTAGCTTTGAACGAGTTTTCCTCGACACTGGTTTATGCTACAATGCGCACTTAGGTATCAAAAAATAGCTGAAATTCAGGGCTATTTTTTGATAGTAATGAGGCACTTTTTGAAAATACAGGCCCTTTGCAAAAAATGAAATACTAAAAAACTTTTGCGACTACGCAACTGTACGAGGGGGGTGGGGTACTATTACAGTATTCACAGTAGGTTTACTTTAAAATAGGTTAGATTATGTTGTACTAAAAGTTATAACGAGGCCCCCTCGTACAGTTGCGTAGTCGCAAAAGTTTTTTTGTATTTATTTTTTTCAAAGCGCCCGTACTTTCAAAAAAGGCGTCTTTGGTATCAAAAAATAGCCCTGAATTTCAGCTATTTTTTGATACCTAAGCGCGCATTGTAGCATAAACCAGTGTCGAGAAAAACTCGTCCAAAGCTAGATTACGCAACACTCCACACCGTCATTATGCGGGTGGGGTACTATTACAGTATTTACGGTAATAACTCGGCATTACCGTATAATCTTTTAAAGAACTTTGACTTACAAATTGGATTTCCCTCCACATCCTTTCCGTGCACATACATGAAGCGTCGATCAAAGAGAGGCTTTAGAGAAAGCATACTCAAATCTGAAGCGATTCTGTTAACTGTTCACTGCAAAAACATACGCTCAACATCGAATTGGTGTCGCCATTTCAACCATTCAAGAACTACGGCAAACACCACGTCGACATCACCATCGAAAGCGTGAAGAAAAGAGAAAAGCAGCACATCTTCACTGTCGATCAAATGTATATCGCTTGGAGAACATTTCCGCAAATGACCCTCCTGAAAATAGAAATCAAGCTGTATTATGGTATTTAAAGTATAGTTTCTAGCTTTTCTTAATGCTTCAATATCGATTAATCAATCGATTATTGCCTATTATCTGTTGATTATTTGAATAAAGTAAAAAAGAATGGCGGAATTGAATCCTCGATCTTCTGCTTACCAGGCAGATTCTTTACCATTGAGCTATTTGCGCCTTCTTTGTACAAGAAGAAATAGGAAAGACAAGGAAGAAAGAGAGGACAAAATAGTTCCCAGTCAGCTTAGAATTAGCTGGAATTAATCACGTAAAGACCAACCTCTCTCAAGCGTTTACGAATCTCGGAAACGGAAACGATATATCGAGTGGAATCGGTTGAGACGGTGGACAGACACCGGTGAAATTGTCGAGCGATGGTCGATGGAGAAATCATTGAATGATGATGGTGAGTGAATGCGAAGATTGGAGAAGCTGAACACTGTAAACTGGCAGATGGAGAGTTGATCAGAGGAGCTCTCTTCAAGAGAATCCTCTCGTCGAACTCGACCGACGTGCTCGGCAGAAACGGATGACGCCGCGGAAGACGACCGCGAACCTCTATTTTGATTGAGTTATCTGAAAAAGAATTCCTTAAAAGATAACAATCTTGACAAGTCCTTGGCACTGAAAATAGATAAAAACAAATGCCAAACAGAGGTTTACATCATAAAACTTAGCCTGTACTTTGAGCTGAAACGTATTCTTTCTAGCACACTAGTCTTTCAACAACAAGGAAACAAGAGTGCCAGGAAACAAGGGTCCAAAGTTTGACCCAAGGAAAGCTCAGAAAGCTTACTTCAAGAATACAAGCCAAGCAAAGTCAGCAATCAAGCCTAAAAAAAGCGTACAAAATATGCAAAATGAGGAAGCGATGCAAGAAAAAAGAAGAGAGATTGGCGTAACGCGAGCCGCCTTTTCGCCTCTTGTCATGCCGGGGCTGTGTGTAAAGTCACTCGTTTTGCTCGCACCGATCGGGCTTCTCTGGTTTTCATGCACTTTTTCAAGTAAAATCCGGGAATTCTCCCAAATCCTATCAACTTTGTAATCCAAAAAAACCTGGATAATATGCTAAAATACTGGCTTTCAATCAATGGTAAAAGTCAAAAAAATCTGAAGCTAAAGCTGTAAAAGAGATATGGGTTGAATGTGGGGGTAGATTGGGGTGCAATTCGTGCTTCTTCTTTTTCAAGACTTTGAGGGTCACAAGCGAAAAAGGGAAAAGAAAGGGCTGAGAAAGATGCGCAAACAACAAGGAGAGTCATGAGATGGGGAAATCCGGGAAAAAGGGGAAAGGCAGAAGAAGAAGAAGAAGAAGAAGAATGAAGAGTTGAGCTCCCCAGAGAAGATCCCATCCGAACGCTTCTATCCTTTTGATTTTTCTTCTTGTTTTCAAAAAACAAATAGACAAGCTTGATTTTTTTGGAAGGATTTTGACCGGTTTTCTTTACTTTTCTTTTACTTGTACATGTATTTTTTGAAGATAGAACAAGAATTTTTATTTTTAAAGTTAAAAGAGTAAGATAAATTGATACCGTAAATACTGTAATAGTACCCCACCCCCTCGTACAGTCGCGTAGTCGCAAATGTTTTTTGTATTTCTTTTTTTTCAAAGCACCCGTACTTTCAAAAAATGCGTCTTTGGTATCAAAAAATAGCCCTGGATTTCAGCTATTTTTTGATACCTAAGCGCGCATTGTAGCATAAACCAGTGTCGAGAAAAACTCGTTCAAAGCTAGACTACGCAACACTCCGCGCCGTCATTATGGGGGTGGGGTACTATTACAGTATTTACGGTAGTTATTAAAGATCATAGTCAAAAGATAATTCTAAAATCAATTTTTTTTGTTGCTTTAATATATGAATTTCTTTATTTAAGCCACCGGACAACACTAAAAATGAAAATTTTTAAATAAATCAATCAAATATCACAGTGAGTATCATTCAGATTTGGACTAGAAACGAAAAAAAAAATTATACGGATTGCTTTTTGAGCAAAGAAATGCAAATCAAAGAAGAGAAAAGACTTTTTTTTTGGAGAGGCAGGGGAAAATGAGAATTAAGAAAACCGAAATAATCTGAAATCTGAAATCTGAAATATTCTGTAATTTAAAATATCTAATAATGGTAAAGTATAGCAGTGAGATCAATGGTAAAAACAAATTGGCACTGAACAAATCTGATATCGATCAAAGTAGAAATCTATTGAAACAAGCAATTCATTAAGTACTTACACATAAAATATAGATATAAATACCGTATTTCTTCGAATAGAAGACCGGGTAAAGAGTATGATCGCGTACTCCTGCGTAGCAGCCCTTTTTAAAATTTCTTTTCTGCATAAAAGCTTTCAATCAAGTGCTATAGAGCTGGAAAATGGCTCAAAAATCTGTTAGCTCATGTGGTATTTTTGAGCCATTTTCCAGCTCTATAGCACTTCATTGAAAGCTTTTATGTAGAAAAGAAATTTTAAAAAGGGCTGCTACGCAGGAGTACGCGATCATACTCTTTACCCGGTCCTCTATTCGAAGAAATACGGTATAAATCTAAATATAAATATAAATATAAATCGAAATATAAATATAAATATAAAATCACCTCTAGAAATGAAAAGATCTACTAAAATCGCATCAAAAAATGAGATCAAAAAAGAAAGAAGAGAAGTGAAATGAAGATTGACGAAAGAAAGGCGGCCCTCGGCGCTGTGTCCGGTTTGTTTAGCATGTCTTGCTCGTTGCATCGCGGACCAACACAAGTGCATAGATAGACCTGAAATATCCGATTTGATTGACATCTTGATTCATATGACATTTTGATGTTGTTTATTGAATGTGAAAGCTATTAGATTGAAGTTATGTTAAAGCTTTTTGATGTTAAAGCTATTAGATTGAATCAAAAGTCTTTCACTCATCATCTCATTATCTAAAGCAATGAGTTTCAAAACAATCCAACAACTCTCAAACAATTTCTTTCATTATAAATCTTTAACGTTTACTTTTGTATCATTTTAAAAACAATTTTAGTATTTTAAAATAATCTGCAAGAAAGAAAAGTGTTTAAAAATATTTTTAAATGAAAAATGAGCAAATAAAGAAAATCGCTAAACGAGTTATTCTAAAATTTTGGTTGTAGATCTAACTTTTTGTGTGCTATCCTTTTGTTTTTATCAAGGATTTAGGTTTCATTAAAATAGGTTTCATTAAAAGAAACAAATCTAAATCGCATCATCGAACCTTATCGTTTTGCTAATAAAAAAAACCTTCAAAAAAAAAAGCTTTTTAAAAACTTTTAAAAGTCATTCGTAAGAGAAATGTTTGAATTATCGAATGAAAAAACCGTATTTCATTTGAGACTGATTCAATTAGAAAATGAATTTGGTTGTAAAAGTTAAAAAAAAAAAAACTGAAAACGATGATTGAAAAAACTTAATACTTAAATTAATCTGAAGACGTTAAATCGTTAAATCTGAAGACGAGTGTAACTTTAAGACCTTATTCGGCTTTATGGTTTGATGGTGTCAAACTGTGTTTACTGACAAAGTATACCAGTTATTGAATTCTCTTATTAAATGGATTGAACAAAATATATGTCATAGCTGATTATGAATTTCAATCGATTATATACTTCAGCTGATTATGAATATCAACCGATTATGTATTTCAGTCGATTAATTTCAGCTGATTATGAATGAGTGGGTCTAGGAACGTCCAACCATCAAGTGTTTGGTATCATTCAACGCAGAATCATTGATAATTATGTTAAATTTTTTAAATTATAAAGATACGATAAAAAGAAAAAAAATTTATGGGGCTTCAAAGTTTTCTCCTCAAGCAACAGTTTTTTAACTCTAACTTTTTTTTCTTTTTATCAAATCTTTTTAATTTCAAAAATTTAACATAATTATCAATAATTCTGCGTTGAATGATACTAAAGACTTGATGGTTGGACACGCCTAGACCCCACTCATTCATAATCGGTTGAAATTCTTAATCGGTTGACATTCATAGTCGGCTGAAATACATAATCGGCTACGGGGATCCCGCCGATTTTGAATCAAACGTTGTAGCGCTCGCAATTTTTAACCTAAACTCACAAAATTTGATACCAATCGACGCAGAATTTAATTCCCTACAAAATGATATAATATTGTCCTCATACATTAAAGGGTTAACCTACTAGAAAGGTTTGCAAAAAAATTTTCATTCATAATCGGCTACGATATATAATTAATTATTATTCAAACAAGATAACGAATAAAGTATAATGTGTAATGCTTTAGAAGATAACGGTTTTCCACCAAAATCTAGCAATAACCCCCCAAAAAAGTGACTCATTTTCAAGAGCTTTCGATTCTTCCTCTCCCATTTATCGCCTAGTTCATTTTTGCCAAGAAGGCTCGTGAATTTCGAATCGTTATTTTCCCACAATCGCGGAAAATGAAAGAGAGCAGAGAATTGATGGTTTGGAAGGGTTGAAAGAGAGAGGTGCTTTCTGATGCATGGTGCTCAGCTCAATCACCGTTACTCTCCCCTTTCCCCTTTCAACATTCCAACAAATGCATGTTTCTTCGAACATTGGATTGAATCTCTTCACGAAATGTTAATGATTTAAAAAAGATTTAACTTATTCACACACAAAAAAAAACTCACTAGATCGCTTTCCGAGCTTGTCAGCGAGTACATTTTGAGAATCTTTCGACTGCTTTTCTTGCAGACATTCGTGTGTCTGAAATCGTATTTTGTTTAGCAAATTCAATCTGTTTGCATTGTCACTTTTCCTTGTCGGATAAAGTATATATACTAAATTGAAACTTAATTTATGGTTAGAATGAAAAAGGAATTAATGTATAAATGATTAATGATTAATGATTAAACAACCGTCGATCCACCGGCATTAAACCCATTTTCACGTCAGCATCGAGTCCAAAGAGGAGAAATCGATCCACACAACCCCTCATCACCGCTTGATGCTCGGTGTCCATAACTGAAAAATTGCTTTTCCCATTTCCACAATCAATCTCTATTTTTTCTCTTACTTATAATAATTGCATATTTTCAAGTATTCAATGAAATAGGATTCGAAAAAAAAAATTGCATTTAGCTCTTTTGTGGTTAGGTTTTTTGTTTTCAAAGAAAAGTCTCCAATTCTTTGACAATAATTTGATTATTTGTGAACCGGCTGCGACACAGATGAGTTCTCTTTCAATATGTTTTCTTCAAAAAGAACCAAAATTTGACAAAACTGCTAAATTCTAATTAAGAAACTAAGAATTTCGGTGGATAATTGAGAAAATTTGCTCAAATGTTGATACTAAAGAAAAGTGATAAGCATCTCAGTGATAAGCAGCTAATCTCAGTGATAAGCATCTAATCTCAGTGATACGCAGCTAATCTCAGTGATACGCAGCTAATCTCAGCGATAAGCAGCTAATCTCAGTGATAAGCAGCTAATCTCAGTGATACGCAGCTAATCTCAGTGATAAGCAGCTAATCTCAGTGATAAGCATCTAATCTCAGTGATACGCAGCTAATCTCAGTGATAAGCAGCTAATCTCAGTGATAAGCACACTCAATACACCTCATAAGCAATCAAACTAAAGTCATTAACTATCAAGTAAGCTAATCATCAACCTAACTATCAAGTAAGCTAATTATCAACCTAACTATCAAGTAAGTAATTACAGAAATGTTTCAGAAAGCTTAGAAAAGTTTATTTGCATCAGTTTAATCCAAAATTGTTAGCAGTATTAGAAGTAATCAAGTAATTGTATCTAAATAATCTTTGAGAGCTACAGAAAAACCCCTAATCCTCGCGGTTTTGAGTTCTACAAGGGACATTTTGATGAGTGTCGCCGTATATTTATTAGGGTGGGTGAAAGAGTTGTGAAAGAGCAAAGGAGGCCTTCAACCTCATTCCCTTCCCTCCACTCCACGCATTTGAATTTGTAATCGACTCCCTAATGAGTTCTCAACCAACCCCTCTTCCACGACCTCCAATGCCTCTTTTTCTTCGACTAGACCATCCTCAAACACCTCATCTTTGCGGAAATCAAAAACTTAGTCAGTTGCCAAAAGGAGAATTTTTAGTTCTCTCGTTTTTGGTGAAGCAACTTACAAGCATTTAAGGTTGAAGTAGTCGAAAATAGAAAGACGAAGATAGAAAGGCGAAGATAGACAAGGAAAGTAAACTCATTTTCTAGATCAGGCCTACTTTTCGAGCATTGAACAGCGACTATTTCTTGCAAATCATCTGTATTGTGAAATGAAACTTCTTGTTTTCTTTATCTATATTATCAAATCAAATCTCTTATAGCTAATCTGTATTGTCAAATCAAATTTCTTGATGTCTTGATTTCTTAGACTCTCTAAATTCGACTCTTAGACTCTCTAAATTCGACTCTTAGACTCTCTAAATTCGACTCTTAGACTCTCTAAATCTAAATTCGACATCTTCGAAATAGATGATTTCGTGAGAAACGAAAAAAAACGAGACGACTAATTTGTTCATTTCAGGTCGTCGGGGCGACAGAGAACGGGGAAATTAGTCAGAGCAAGAAATTGGTATATCTAGAAGAGAGAAAACGCGAGTGATGAATGCCACTTCATTAGATTCTCTTTCGTATATGAATATCCACAAATTCTGACAGATGAGGTTAGTTTTGTGTCACGATAGCTTTTTTTACAAATTTCGATTGGAATTTTTTTGGGGAAAATCTTCTGAGATAAGCGTTTTAAAATCTGTATTGTCTGTATTGTACAGACACTTAAAAAAATTGTATTGTACAGACACTTAAATTGTATAGAGACTTAAATTGTATAGACACTTAAATTGTACAGACACTTGTATTGTACAGACACTTAAAATGTCTGTACAGACACTTTAAAAACCTTGTAAAATAGGGTTTAATTTCTTGGAAGTATAATAGAAATTGATTGAGTGCTGAAATTGATATTTATGAGATCAAATATAATATTTATGAGATCTATTGGGTTGTCCAGTTATGAATGCGCGTTTTTTACTATTTTGTAAATTTCTCAAGATACCGAAATCAAGAAAAAGATATATATGAGTATTATTCGAAAGCTGAAGATCTCCTCTACATTTTAATATAAAAAGTTTTTGAATTTGTCCAGCTTTTGGGTAAATTGACTGCACAGAAGAAGAGGTGGCCAAAAAATGGAAGGGTGTCTTTGGATCAAGTTTTGGCTCCGCTCAAATTGAGTTAACCGTTTGATGTTTGGCTAATAGATATATCAATACAACTTTTTTTAAAATATAACAATTTCAGAGCATCTTTACTTTTCTTTTCTTTTCTGGACGGTTATTTTACACCATCAAACTTGAGGAATATCTAAGCTGAAAGGGTTTTTTTTTCGAAAACAACCTCTCCCTTTGAGCAGTCAATTTCCCAAAAAGTTGAATGAATTCAAAAACTTTTTTATTCCAAAATGTAGAGGAGATCTTCAGCTTTCGAATGATATATAACACTCATATACATCTGTTCGATATCTTGAGAAATTTACAAAATAGTAAAAAACGCGCATTCATAACTGGACAACCCAATAGAATCTAAACTTCCAAAAGCTAGTTCAACTTTAAACTTTAAAACTGAACTTTAAAAAGTTTAAGTCTTTAGTTTCAGATCCCGAAAACTATTACTCGTGAAATTGAATCCAGAAATAGTCAATTTCTTTGCATGAAAAAGTATCGCAAAATTCCCACCACTTGTGTTTCCCTCTCCGCAGGCCCCCAAATATCCATTCTAAGTGGGTAACAATCAACTACAAATGCGTACAATATGTCTAAAAGAAATGCGTGTAAAAGGGGAAAAGAGAAATTCTCTCCCCCCATTTCCAACCAACAACCAACCGCGACTAATTGACTTTTTCGCACACATGACACCACTTCTTCGCGAATTGCTCCCCAATCCAAAACCCCCCTTTTCTCCAATTCGATATACCACCTATTTTCCTAGGTTCTTTAATTGGAAACTTTTTGTGTTTACTTCTTTTTTTTTTTTGAAAGAAAGCGCAACACATAGCACATTATTTCCAAGCCACTTACACTCGTTTTGACCGGCCACTCGCTCGACAATCGTAAAACACGCCGAATCGCAGGGTACTGTGCCTAGAAATTGTAATATAATAACCATAATATAATAACCATAATATAATTTGTTAGTATTTTAGTAGTATTTTTTCGAATTTTTCAAAAAAAAATCATCTCTGGGCATTTATTTTTTCAAAGATGAGATTGGGATATCCGGTTGAGGGGAACTCACCGATTTGTGCATCCGGTTGCCAGCAGCGATCGGTGAAATTGTGTGGCGGGTAGTAGTGGATCATCAGCAGGTTCCTGGAAATGGCTTTTGACTTAAGTTTTGATATTTCAGGAGTATTTGAGCAATACAAAGTTTTACAAAATATGAAGTTATTGTGTAAAATCCTTGAAAAACCAACCAAATCGGTAGATAAGCATGAGAAAAGCACGAATAACAAGGCTCTTTCGGTGCGCTCATCAAATCCGAGTACTGTTGATGACCTGGAAATCCAGTGTTACATGATATTCATTACATAATATCTACTATATACAAAAGAGCAGTGTCTGCCCGTCCGTCCGTCTGTAAGGGCTTTTTCTCAGCCGTCTTTGGGCCAATAAAGCTAAAAGTTCTTTAGAAAACCTTAGAATGTATTGTAGTTGTGCCATTTAAAATAAAAATTTTAAAATGTAAAAATTGAGTGCCAACACGGGGAGCCGAACCCGTCTGGTCTGGGATCGAACTCGAGTCGTAAACAAGCGCGCTGCCGACTGCGCTACGGCAACGTGAGGCGCAGCACAACATCCAGCACAAAAACTCGCCACTAGGCAGGTTTTTCGGCTGGTTCTTTACATAATAGTATCTTGAATTTCCAAGAAAGTATAATAAACAAACCGTCTGAACCCTGCAAACTGCTCCGATAATATCCATGAATTGTCGGCGGAAAGGCGAGAAAAATAAACACCGTCAAAAGATGCCGTAATCGGATTAATTCAGCACTGAGATGAAATAGATTCGTTGCATTGTGCAGTGTTCCCAGGATCGCTCTCCTCTTCTTCCCAATTTCTTGTTTTTCCGTTTCTTCAACAGATTGACCATTTTGCGAAGTGCTTGGCCAACAATGAGTCTCCAAGAACATCAACACCCTGAAACTTATCACAAAATTATTTACGACCAAATCAAAGACGATAATGAAAAGAAACGAAAACGGAAAGGAAACTTTTGGTGTGTGCCAATATCCGGCTTTTGGCTGAGAGAGAGAGAAAGAGGTTCTTTCTCATTTCCCTCAATCAAAAGACGAGCGGTTGATCCGAGAGGCAATATATTTTCGAAAAAGAAAAAAGAGAGGTCAATTGAAAACACAAAAATCGAGGATGGGAAGAACTTTCGGTGAAAAGGGTAATTGCCAAGCAATTAGCGATCATTCCAGAAGATCTGACGGGCAGAGTTCGCTTTTTGAAGCTCACTCCTTTCACTCCAAAGCGGGCCTTCGTTATTGCCATGACAGCCTGTTTTAGGCAAAAATTTGTTGGCTCACCTATTTGAGTGGAGAAAGGGATCTCTTTTCATAAAAGGGGGACCGCCCCTTTCATAAAATAGACCGCCCCCTTTTCCACTTTGGTGAGAAGGCTTGTTGCTTTATAATGAAGATGAAGAAGTGAAGGGATTGGCAAGAAGTAAATTTCCGGGGAGATGATTGAACCCTCGACCTTTTGTTTTTCGGGCTTCTCAAGCTCTAACCACTGAGCTATCCGGTAGCTTAACTTCCCAAGAGAAAGAAGGAAACACAAGGGAGAAGAAGAAAGAAAGTCTAATACGGAGAATAAACTAACTTCAAAGCTTTTAGTTTAGAAAGATTTAGTACCTTTTCTGGTAGGAAAGCCTGGAGTAAGCAATTTTTTGTCAACAGAATCCATCAATCATAAGAGACAAAGTGGTTTTATTCCACTATAAGCTTCAAACTCAACTCTCAAACATAACCAGCTCATAATTCTATGTGAAAGCTAACAGTTTTCAGTGCTATGGACACGCAATCGATAAAGTTTTCAAAGACAACGACTTGCTACTTTTCAACAACTTTTCAAAAACCTTAACAAGTCAAAACAAAAGGCGAGAGCGTAATTTCAAGGTGGTAACCATTGTGGAGTTCCCATCTAGATTTTGGTGAAGAGTTTGTGAATTGTGTGCAGAAATTGAGGGTAACCCTAGGGGAGAAGGGGCGACACGCCGTGAGCCTTTGTACTCTAATGGCATATGCTCGGAATGAAGGCAAGAGAGACCCTAACCCCGGCCACCGCACGTTGCGAATTTCCAAGCAATTAAAGCAACGAGGCAAAGGGATTTAAGGTGAGAAAGCAACACAAAAAAGGTGGCACTTAAAAGGAAAGCTTTTAGTTTTTGAAAAAAAGCATTTAGATGATTTCCTTGGCATACAGTTTTGAATTTTATTTAATGTAAGAGTTCTAGGGCCTGCAGTGTGGCTCTAGTTTGATTCTGTGAAGTCTCTTTGAAGCAATAGAAGACTTTATTTTGTGTAAAGTATTCAAAAACTAAAATATGTAGATGAGTCTATAATTTAGAAGTAGAATAATATTGATCTAAGACAAACTAAAGTCAAAATTTGATGCTCGAAATTGACGATTCAAAGTATTGTCTTTCGATGGGAGGGGAAAGGCGAAGAGGAGACGCCTCAAAAAGTCAAACATTGCATTCAAAATTGACTTCCATTTCCATTTGAAATGCAGAACAATAAATCAACTAGTTTTTAAATAGTAAAATCACAAAAGAAAGTGTTTAAATGTGAATTTAAGAGTCAAAAAAAGGGGACAATGAGTTTGTAAAGTGAAGGTGTTGAAAGAGATGTCACACTAACTCATCAAATCAACTCATCGGTCGATTGACAGCTGCTAAAAGAATTCATGAATAGCTTAAAAATAAGTTAATAATAATTAGAATATGTTCTTAATTAGATAAAACTAATTTTTTAGATAAAACTAATTTTTTAGATAAAACTAACTTTTTAGATTTAAAACTAACTCGAAAGGATTTAAAAATTTAGTAAATCTGAAAGAGTTCAAGATTCGAGTGAGGTGAAAAGCACTTGAGATCGCAAAAAAAGAAATTCCCTTGACGAGTTGATCGAATTTTTTTTTCGTAACATTTTATACATCGATAAATTTTATACAATGGTATTATAATTTTGAGATTGATAAGCTATTTTCAAAGTTTTATTCATTTCTTTATCTCATAAAGTTTATGATTTTTGTTGAGCACCGCACATGTAAACGACAAACGCTTTGAAAAGGAAAAAAAATTGAAAGGATCACTTTTAGTGAACACTTTAAAATGCTTTTTAAATATCTAAAAAATGAATCTAAAAACTTGATTTAAAAATGCAAAAAGACTAGAGAAGAATGGGTAAATTAAAAAAAAAAACAAATGGCACGGGAATTCACAAACTCGCAAATGTGACCAGGGTTTAGAAAAAGTTCTAAAATTCTAGAAGAGTAATATTGATGAAGGTATAACTTAAATTTTTAAGTATTTAGTTATTTTTTTAAAAGTTATGCGTGTAAGCCATAGCCATATCGGCCAGTTGATCCTCGAGGAGGCGAATGCGGCGCTCGTGTTGACGAAGGATCATCTCAAATTTGAATATAAAAGTAAATATTACTGGAGAAATAGTTTTGATAATATATATATTATACAATATATATATATTTATACATAGATTAATTCATAAAAAGTCTATAGAAAGAGCGTTTTTACCTTCATCTTCTGCAGATCACTCACGAGTTCCTCCATTGAGCCGGGACCGGACTAAATTTTTCATTTTTTCAATTTCCCTTTAATAAAACGGATTATAAACGCTTGACAAACAAAGCATTATTATATCACAGGACAATTTTTTCGTTATAACAATTTTGCGGATAGCAAGCTATCATACTCACATCACTTAGCATAACGGGTGCATCGGAGGGCTAAACGGGAAAACTTTGGTTTCAGAGATTATTTTATAAAATAAACTATAGTTGGATTTTATCCTTACCATATCGACACCAAGAACTCGGCTGGTTCGCGAAGATGCTTGCGAAGTGGGACGATCCGAGGCTCGTGTTGACGCTCTAGAAGCTGCAGCGGCTGCCCGGTCGTCGTCATCCGGCAATCGAGCCTATATTTTTAGGATATAGAATTATTATTTCCAAATACCGTCAATATTCCAATAGAAGAACCCCTATAAGAGCATCGCCTAGTCTAAGTTTTCACTCAAACAAACGCTCCTATCATAGCACCAGTACGTTTGTTTTTGCACGCTTAGTTATCAAATTAAAGTAGAGAAAATGGGTGATATTTTGAGATATAACACATACACATATAACATTTAACACACATATTTCAGCTTTAATGCGCTTAGAACAAAATGATTGAAAAAAAAGCCGATTTTTCAATCATTTTGCTCTAAGTGCTGGTTAATGCTAAAAATATGTGTTATATCTAAAAAAATCACCTATTTTCTCTACTTTAATTTGATACCTAAACGCGCAGAAAAAAAACCTACTGGTGCTAATATATGAGCGCTTGTTTGAGTGTAAACTTAGACTACGCGACTCTCTTATCGGGGCTCTTCTATTAGAATATTTACGGTTTTTTATATTCAAAAACTCCACTATAGGTCTAATTTAATTTAAAATTTTACTTGATCACGACGAATCCTCTCCAATTCAGCGGCGGCCCTCCTCTGTCCAGCTGATGGGGCTCCACCATCATCGTGCTCAGCTCTCGATCTCAATTTCACCTAAAATCTCATCTTTTTAAACGAAAACAGAAAGAAGAAAGGGCTTTGTTAATAGAAGTTATCCTTGAAGTTGTAAATTTTGGGGGGTAGAAGTTTGAGGAAATGAAGAAAGCCGAGGGTTCCCAAAAGAAAGAAAGAGAAAAACAACAACAAAATGATTATTTGATTGATCTTACGGGTGACGAGCTAATAGAGCTGTAAGTGAGAGGCGCCGAGTGAGTCAGAGGTGAGGAGAACTGGAGTCATTTCATTCACTCATTCAAATTTCATCCATTTCTCAGCTTTTTCCCAATACTGCCAAGTGTAAAAAGTATAAATATGAAAAGAATTACCCCGGTGTCGATCGTGCAAGGCGAGAGCTTAAATGATATTTTTAAAATGGTGAAGCTCGAGAAAGATCATGAAGCAAAGGAAAGCGGTTTCAAAAAATCTTAGGTGGATAAGACTCTTGTGAATTTAATCCAAAAATCGTTTTCAAGTACAAGTACCGATAAACTTAAATACAAAATCATACTTGACTTTTCGGCACCATTGGATTAACTTCTTCTTTTGGCGGCTCTACGGAAGAAGCTGGACGCCGAGGAGACGGCGAAGATGAGGCTGTCACGATTCCCATATCATCGTCCACTACCAATTTCTTCTAAAAAAATTTAAATATTTGCAGAATTAAGATTTGAAACAATTATTAAGCTAGTGCATAAGTCTTTACAATTTTTTTTCAAACATCTTTTAAAAATAATGCGATCACTAACAAAATTTCTATTTAAAATATTAAAAAGGTTAATTGTTTCTCTGCAAAAATGGCTTTTGGGAAATTCTTGAAAGTTGTTGTTTTTGTGGATTTTCAAAGATGTAAAGGCAAGCACTCAAATGCCGAAATCGCAATTTGGACAATTTGGACACTTTCTTCAATACAAACATATTTTGATGCTAAAGTAAAAAAGATAGAGCTTATTTGATTACATAAGTCTGTAAAATTTGAAAACGATTCGTCCAGCGATTTTCTTTAAAACAATAATTGAAAATTTAACATAAAAATGCGTTACCGAGTTGAGGCGCGAGCTTTGAGCTTTCTCTTAAAAGCCATTTTGTAGAGAAATGTAGAGAAATGTTTTTTTTAATAGTTTAAGACGCAACAAATTTGGTAAAGTATTCTTTTTTATCAAAAAAAAATTGTAAAGACTTATGCATTAACCTAATAAAAACTGTTCAACTTACTTGTGAAGCGGGTCTCGGTGATGGCGTTGTTTTGGCCGGCTGTGGTGACGTTTGCTCCTTGTATGATTGTGGAGGCGGTTCAGCAGCCCTAAAAACAGTGAATACTTTTGGAAGACAAAAATAATAAAAATAATAATTGGATAGACAAAAATGTTTAGCTAAAAAAGGTTCTTACTGTGTGGGAACGAGTGAATTGAGGATGTTGGCCTTTTTCACCACTTGAACTTTCGGTTTCGAAGCAGCTGCGGCAGCGGCCGCGTTCACCGGCTGACGGCACGGTTCCGCGTCTTTACCTAAAATCTTTTTCTTTTACAAGTACAATAAAACTCTCCAACCATCCATAAATTCTTCAGCGCTTAAAGCTGGTGCTAAAGAACGAGTGTCCGGGTAGAGATCATGCTAAAAATTAACTGATATTGATTAAATGCACACATTTACTTGAAAAAGATCTGATTTCCTGGGGCAAAAGAATTGAAGAATGTCCACAACACCTTTGGTAGTCAATTTGTAGATCCTGAAAATGAAAATGAGAAATTTTTGGCTTAAAATCAACCTGTGCAATTCATTCTCCTCCGAGGAAATGCCTCGTTTACTTTGAAAACCGGCAGCTCTTTGCGGTTCACTGGTGGTGTACGTGTTGATGTAATGCATAAATGGTGGATCATCGTTCACTTCATAATAACGAATAGCACAATCACCCTAAAAGAATTTCTTTTCCCAAACACTTGCTTTTCCTCACCTTTCCGACAAGGTACACCAATCCAGTGTCTTCATCGTAAAACGGAAAAAGAACTCCGTTTGATGTGTCAAGCTCTTCTTGTATGATTGGGGTAGAAAGGTTTTCCTTAACATTATATATTTTACATAAATAATATCATCAATAATTTCATAACTCTTGTTAAAAGTACCTGTGTACGAAGAGCATAAAGTCTTTCGGATCTTTTCGTGAATCCCGTAGTCACCACTCTGCCATCTCTCATGAAAATGGCTCTAAAATTTGATGTGATGGAACAATGTTATTTCTAACCTTTGTGGCTTCACTCCTTCATGTCCCATTCCTTCTTGTACCATTTCACCATTGTGCGCATTGAAGATTCGAAGTTTCTTGTCCTAAAACCGTATTTTGGTAAACTGAAGGGATACAGTTATCATGTCAAATAAATAATTCATATTATACTCGAGTAAACTGTTGCTCTTGGCTTTATCCCTTTCTTGAAAAAGACTATTTTCCAGAATTAGAGTGTGTTCTTTATGAGTAAAGTAATTACTCGAGTTAAAATTTGCGTGAGTAATTTTTACGATTAATCCACTTTTTTTTCGAATAACTACGAGTAATCCCGTTTAAACGTGGGTTAAATTGGATAGCTTTACATTTAAAGGGGATTTGTCAGCAAATTACTTAAACAGTTGAATATCTTTAAAAGGAGTCGTATAGAAGTCGACGCCTGCGATTTTTTGGGGTAGGCTAAATTTCCGCAATTTTTTTTGCACAGCAGGGTCATTTCTCGCCAACTCGCCATAACTTTCTTCTAAGCCGGCCAATCTTTATGATTTTGGTTTTATTTTGTTGCACTTATTGTGATCTACAAAATGAAACCAAAATGATAAAGATTGGCCGGCTTAGAAGAAAGTTATGACGAGTTGCGCAAATGATCCTGTTGTGCAAAAAAAATTGCGGAAATTAGCCTATCCCGATTTTTTTGCGCCAATTTTTTGCAAGAATTTTCGCTAAAAGTACGGTAATTTTTCCCAAATGTGCGTTTTAAAAAACGCCCTACTCGGGAGGAACACACTCTATTTTAGAAAAGTTTATCGGAAATTTGGACTTACCTTGCAACACGTGATAAACTGGCTTCCATCGTAGTTGAAAGCAATCGACCAGATCTGAAAAATCAATTTTACTTATAGTTTTATAATATTTTTATGATAAAATTATTGATCAAAGTATTTTAGCAAGCCAACAATTCGTTTTTAAGCTTTCACTTGATCAGGATGACCAGCGATCTCCAGCAATGCTTCACCAGTGCCCACATTCCACATGTACATCACATTTTCACCACCTGAAAAACTAGATACACTGTGGTGCAAAAGTCCTGACCGGTCGCACTGTCCTATCAAGTCTGAACCATTTCGTCAGAGGAAATTTTAGGTAAAAACGTTTTGATAGCTTAAACCTTCTACTTTATGTCCAAAGAATGAAAGCAATAACATTTTATTTAACAAAAAATTTTGACAATATTTGACGACAAACACAAGAAAATTCAATACTTCGTAGGTCCTCCTTTTGCGACAATGACTGCCTTGTGCGTCTGGTTCGAGTCGACCAAATCACGTAGATTCCCAAAGAAAGTTGTCTCCAAACATTTCTGTAAAGAAATAAGCATCGACCTTTGGTTGAACCGGCGTCCCTTGGTTTGGCTTTTAGGGGCCCAAAGTGCTCTATAATGTTCGTCCGGCGATGGAGGTGCTTTGATCAATTCCACACGTGAGCGCAAAGCCGGGTAGGCGGCCTTCCTCCATTTGCAAGCCGGCACTCGGCCCATCATTGCTGACTTTTGTGGCTGGGCGTTGTCTTGTATAAGGCCCATCCTTGTGGCATCTCGTGTTTGCATGGTAGTTGTTCTCTATGTTGACTTGTCCTTTGGCGTCGGTTTCATCGTAACACTAGCGGTCCCGTACCTTCGTTCATCGGCCTAAGCAAATCGTAGTAAATGGGCGAACACTACCCCACAACATATGCTCCCACCGCCGATTTGACCGTTGGTTTAACGTATTTGAGCTTATAACGTTGTCCAATTGGCCTTCTGTTATGGTTGCCGTCCGGGTGTACAATTAATTTTGTCTCATCGGTGTGCTCGGGCCCAATCATCGGGTCCAACTCGTAGTTCTTTGCAAGCATATCTTGGCTTCCGGTTCTTGCTTCGTCAGGGTCGTTTCGCTGGTCTTCTCGCTGTAATTCGCTCGAATCAATCGCCTATTGGACTCCATCGGGAATATCCTTGCCAGAACGCCTTCAACTTCTTGATCCCATGGCTCGACGTTAGTTGGTTTATTCGGTGCTCCTGTGATCGAACGTCCTCATTTGGTGTTGTAATTGATGGTCGACCTCTTTTTGGGCTCTATGCGTTTCATTTGTTTGTTGCGCCACGGACGTCTCCTGTTTTTCAGAACACTTGCGTTTCCATCACTTCTTCCGCGCGCCTTTTGTTCGTTCTCGACTTTTCTCTTTGTCGGCTGTGACATCGTCCTGGCATCTAAAAAAAATTAGAACCAAAAGTTTATGCAGAAAGACAAGAAATCCAAAAATCAAGAAATAAAACCGGTCAGCTTTTGCACCATGTTTTTTGGTCGTTTCGATATTGTCAATTTTTGTTAAATAAAATGTTATTGCTTTCTTCTTTGGTTATGTGGGTTTGCTCCAAAACCTTTTCCATAAATTTTAACGTTCTTTTCTGGCGATGGTTCAGGTTGATGGACGTGCGACCGGTCAGGACTTTTGCACCACAGTGTATTCAGCAGTTTGACAAAAAGATAAATTATCAAAATATCCAACGAACAAACCAGCGGTGAGAAGAAGATTATTTGCAACGGGATGCCAGGCGATCGTGTTCACTCTCTTTTGGTGTCCGACGAGTTCCACCACTGGATCAGTGATATTTCTTCTTAGACCTCCTTCCGGAATCAACCATACCTAAGATTTTGTCTTATCTAGATTATTCTATGTTTAAACTTTAGCTGTCGTGTCCTCTGAGCAAGATGCGATTACATTGTCATTGAATGGAGACCAAGCAATCTCTAGACATGGTGCTTTATGTGCATCAACGAATGGATGATCTTTGTCGATTCTTCCGATCTAGAAAAATGCTATACTTTATGTTAATCTAGTTCTACAACTAGTCTACAACTTTAACTTTTTAACTTTAAATATAAGGGGAAAAATTTAAGATATGATCATTCTCCAAGGTTTAACAAGTTTTTCAGATTTAATTTCATTTTCAAATTTCATTTCATTCGATCTATTGTTTGTCATTTTCCATTCTATCATTCTATCTCTGTTATTTGATTTTCAAGAGAAAAAGTTTGTTGTTGAGTTGTTTGTGAGGTTGAGGGATGAGCGAGAGTCAGATAGCTCGTTGTCAGATAGCTCAGGGATAGCTCGTTGTAATGTGCCTTCACCCCTGCAGTGATTGTCGATCGAAATCTCCCCACACAACGAAAACAACAAAAAATTTTCCCACGATAATTTTCGAAACAAAAAAGAAAAAAGTGGACATAAAAACTCTAGAATTTGTTTTTCCAACTTTTTCACTCACCTTGTTCACGGGAATGACAAGAAATGGTCCTCCACCGGATCCTTTATGAATAAAAGCGATAAATTTTGGGTTAACAGCACAAAATAGAGAATCCCAAGTGATTTCGGTTACCTAAATTGCTTAGAATTTTCTTGGGATTTCGAATTGAACTCGTTGAAAGTTCAAATTTTATGATTTTATGATTCTATGTGTCAACTTAAAGATACAAATATAGTTAAATTATATAAATAGCTATATAAATATCTATATAAATAGCTATATAAATAGCCTAAATTCTAATAAAGACAAAGATTTGTTGAAATTTTCATTTAATCAATTAACTTTTTACCTTTATATCGCTCATGCAATGCTCGTGTTTTACTGGTTTGCAGTAAACGTGTCGAAATTTCGATTGGCGCACGATTCCGGCCATTTTCTTTTAATCGAATTAGCTTAAAACCTGTAAAGTGATACAGTAATTTAAAGTTTTAAAGTTTTTAGTGAAACGAAATCATGAATGGGGAATCGCATATGGTTGAGGGTTGAAAGGAAAGCAGACGAGCTGTGTAACATCTCGCTCATAATGCAAAAGCCCCGTTCACTTTCCTTTACTCACCAATAAAGTGGTTCTTTGATTACAAAATAAAGTTTAAACTTCTTTTTGAAATATTTTGAAATATTGACAAAATGGTAATCAAGAATGTAAATGATAAAGAATTGTCTATAAAAATTTAACAGAAATATTTAATTTACAACAAGCTCAACAATTTCCCGGAATCATTTCTCGTTAATCAAGCGAACATCAAGATTTTGAAAGACTCAACTAGCAGCGCCAGAAAGCCATATTTACACTTCATTAAAAGAAATGCTTGTGAGATATTGGCTAAACGAAATCCCGGGAGTTTGTGTGTATTTGTGTGCACACAAGGTCCAAGAAGAAGCCACACAATGAAATGCGGAGAGAAAAGGAGAAGAAGAACGAGACTGAAAGAAAGAGAGAAACGGGGCAATGGTTGACTGCCATTCGATTTCAGCTCGATTTTTTTCGCAAAGTGATCAGAGAGAAGACAGGTTGCTTTATTCTCCCGCACTTCTTCAGCAAATTCATTTTTTTTCCTTTTTTTTCTTCTAACTCTGAGTTTACTGAAAACTCGCGGTCAAGTAGCACGCGTTTAGCTTTTATTTAAATAACGAAAGGGTTGGTGTTTCTACTGAAAATCGTGAAAAGAGTTTTTAACATTGGTTGTTGAAGAGTTGACTAAACCGAATGTAACATTTTGAATTCGATTTGAATTGAATTCACATTGAATTCACATTGAATTCACAAAAAAAACATCAAGAATGACAATTCAAAGACAATTAACATCATGAGTTTATTGCTTATTGCTTAAAATATTGCTTAAATATTGCTTAAAATCAAACTATATAGTAGAAATGAAAGAATTTATAGCAGAGTTTGGCTATAGTACTATAGTACTATAGCCTAGTAGATATAGTACGCAGACTGGCATGAGCTCACAAAATAGGCGAAAATGAGTTATGAGTGCATGAGTGAAATGAGATTTTGATTCAAGGAAGCTCAAGGAAGTTCAAGAAAGTTCAAGGAAGTTCAAGGAAGTGAGTTCAATTAGTTAGCTTAAAAATTTCAAAATTTCCCAAAATATTCGTCGGATGGGAGAAAGGAGAAGGGGTGGATGACTGGAGAAGACTGTGTTTGCCAAGGCGCCCCTGCAAACACTCATCTCGGAGACTCATCGGCTAACAGTCTCCTGCCACAGGCTACTTACCCCATTTTTTATCTTAAATTAATAAACAAGATCTTGTCAGAAAGTATGCAAAAAAATAGCGCTTTATCCATTAAGCAAGCTTAACAAGAACAAGAACAAGAACAAGAACAAGAAGAACTGTTCCCCCCAAAGAATGGATTTTAATTCGAAATTGAATCTGTTTATTAAAGAATTCTTGAAGTGATCTGAAAGCAATTTAAAAACCAATTTTTGTTTTCCGATTGAAAGTGTAGGCGATGGGGACAAAACACTGGCCTCAAGTGACGACTCATCCCTATCCCAGTCTCTTTTTCTTTTTCTTAAGGACGACGCCCCCACGCGGCTGCTCGCTTTCACCTAGAGAGTGATGAAAATGAATGAAAACATTGAACATTGAAATTTAAAAGTATCAAACTATTTACTCTTTTTAGAAAATCAACACTGCCGGATTACGCAAACAGATTACTACAGAGGAATCTTGGGTCAAACTCGATACTCCAAGACTATAAGCATGAATATTTGAAAAGATTACTGTAATATCTTCTCGTTAATGTATATTACGTTAATTATTGAATCTATTTAATAACAGACGTTCGGTTCCGAGCCGGATATCCGTTTTTGAATCGTTCAACCTACACTTTGACGATTTTTGTTTTTTTAATGATGGCTTCTGCGAGTTAGCAAGTATAATTTCAAGTATAATTTCAAGTATAAGTTCAAGTATAATTTCGAGTATAATTTCAAGTATAATTTCAATTTCTATTCATAATTTCAATCCTAGCTAACTTGCGCGTTTCGCATTTTTATTTTATTTTTTAATTTATTTAAGTTTTTATAAGTTGTACAACTTATAAAAACTTAAATACTTGCTTGTTATGTTTCTTTTCGATCATTTACATTTTCGATCGTTTATTGGCAATAAATTTTGAAGTTTGATCATGAAAACTCAATGATCAAAAGAAAAAAAAAGCGTTCGTTTCAAGAATTTAGTAGTAAAGTTTGGAAATTGTTGAAATATAGGGTGTTCTGCATTTATGGTGACTTCTTTTTAGTAGATTAGCTCCGAAGCGTCAAGTTCAACCCTAATGTGTTAAGTGTTATATAAATTGTTGAAGCACTTAATCTTGGCTACATTTATCTAAGAAAATTTTCCCCGAGACATAAAACTCATTTTACAAGCCCTTAATTGAGTACTACTACTTGTAGTTGATCCCTTTCCGGCACGCTGCCATTTTCGGCGATTTTTTCATAAAAACTTCAATCAGAAAAGAGTTTCTTTTGGATAAATTTGTGGAATTTTGTCTAAAAATTGGTCGCATCCGTTTCCTTCCTATTTGCGTTCCTATTTTGCAATTATTCGCGTCGCATTTTTCGTCTTTTTTTTTCTCCTTATTGTATAGTATATTTCGATTTAGGTCCATTGTGAAAGCAGAAAGGATTCAACGGGCTCTCGACATGGGCGTAGTGATAAACTTCGCAACGAGTATCGCCACTTATCAAAATGGTGTCCAGAGGGAATGACGTACGATGCTTTCAAAGCCAATCAAGGAGCTCAACCGCGACGAAATCGGTATGCTTTAGATGTATAAGTTAGTTCTTAGATAAACCTAGTGATAAACTTTATTTTTAGATATCAAGATGTACCATGTGGAGATGCGCGTCGAGTGGTGATCAAGTTCCCTTGTGATGTGGTGATCCGAGTGGTGATCAAGAGCCTTGTGGCTATTTGAGAGTGCTAGCAGGGCCGCTCTCTTGTTCTCCAAAAATCTACATAACAATGCAAATTGACATTGACGATTCATCTCTTCAACTATTCAATAATAAAGAAAATTGCTTAAAATTTCTAAAACTGTGGAAAACAAAACGGAATTTTTCTTCTTGTCAATCTGTGCGAATTTAGATTTTCCTTTTGAATGCAATCATGAACAAAAGTCTTTTAACGTTGGCTTTTAGAAGTTTGTTCTTTGTATATCTTGATCCAAATCCGACCAATTTGCAAACGGTTAAAGTTAAATTAAAATTAAAAGATTTAAAGAGCTTATTGTCTCTAATTTTAACATTACAAAAAGATGGATTTGACAATTTATCAGGTGAACTTTTTAATAAAATCAAAAATTGATGGACAAAAGTCTTTTAACCAAGGACCAAGATATACGAAAAACAAACTTCACAAAACCAACATTAAAAGACTTTTGTCCATGACTGTAAAAGAAACTAATATTACTTGTTACTTGTTTATGTTAAAAATTCAAGAATCATCACTTCCACCACCATTTAGAAAACATGTTGATTACCACAAAGGCATACAGTTGGTCAACGATAGACTTCCGAATGTAAATCAAAAAACTATCTTTTTACAGATTGGTCTTCTTTTTGTCGTTGGTGAAGGGTCGGACCACATTGGAATGATTGTAAGAAAATTTAAATACAGTATACCCCAACTCCTTATACAGGGTGCGGCAAAAGTTCTGACACTTTTTCTGTAAGCAGCATTTTTTTGGCTTCAAAAACCCGTGAATTTCAAAAAACTAACGCCGGATTCTAAAAATTTAGGTAGTTTCACCCCAATATAGCCATTTTCATAAAAAGATTTCAACTCTCAATAACTTTTTGACGAGAATTTTTTATATCCCGGGCTGGTCGCTGAAGATTTTTGCGAAAGTTGACTTAAACTTTGCAGAATGAAATTTTTTCCAAAAACTGCTGTTACCATTTGATAGAGCTGTCTTTTTTCTTGAAAACAAGCCACAAAAAAACTTTATATCTCAAAAACGAAAGATTTTCAAGCGATTCTACGAAGGGCACCCAAATCTCAACAGTAAAAAAAACTGCTGTAACGACCTTTAAACATCCTCATCAAAATGTTGTTTAGATGGCAATTTTTGTCCAAAAAAGTATATTAGGGGGTAAAAATATCTGAATTTTTATAATCCGGTGTTAGTTTTTCAAAAATCGCGTTTTTTCCAAGTCAAACTGCCCGTTTACAAAAAGTGTCAGAACTTTTGCCGCACCCTGTAGTATACCAAGGAAAGGTATTCAGCTAAGAAGCTTGAATACTTTCTGGCGAATTCTACTTAGCCAATTAAGTACAAACTTTTCACTCCGGTATTCTGTAGTGAAACAGAGCCTGGACTTTGCAGTAATCAGGGATGTGGGCCAAGAGAGCCGGTCCGCAAACCTGGTCCAGGGATTTTTTGTGGGTCAAGCCCTGATTCTGTCCGGGCCTTGTGACAATCCTGGCAGTAATTTATTCAGAAACACTTCAGGAAGCCAATAAACTCCAACTTCAACCCCATTTTCTGGTAGTGGGAGAGCCGACCGAGAATCGTTTTGCCTCAATTCAAAAAGAAGCCTTCAAGGTTAAAAAAATTAAGCGTTCTTTGTGCTGGGCCCTGTAAACATGTTCTGCACTTTCTGTTGCACTAAGCTACTTTACTTCCTCTTTTCAGTTCGTCATCAAAACCACCGGCAAAGCGGGTCATTCTGGCTATCCACGTCACAATTGGAAGATTGTTTTACAGGTTTTACAAAACTAAGTAAAAGTGCATTCTTGAAAGTTTTAGATGTCTTTGCTAAAGAAATCGAACAGAAAGTCACTGTAAAGGCGTCAACTTCAACGCAACCAATTTTGGAACATGCTCCCGATGCTCCATCGTTTTGTTATCTTGCCGACTTGTTACTATTTTTCAATTGTTTTGCAAATGTTGTTACAGGTTATAAAAGATCATGATATGTTCATTTTTCGGTAAATGTTTTACTAAAACTATCAATATCTTGATTGGACCAAAAAGTCGAAAATCGCCAGTTTTTGTCTTCACCAAAATATTAAAAAGCTGCAGATAGCGTTTTCAGTTGTTCACAAAAAGGGCGCAGGAAAATTATGTTTAAAGTAGACTTCGGAAAACAAAACTTAACCAAAACCAAAACTACCAAAACCAAAACCATAACAAAACCAAAACCAAAACAAACCAAAACCAAAACCAAAACCAAAACTAACCAAAACTCGCCAATATCTCGCGACTGGGAGGAGCTAGCGAAAATCTGTTTGCAGATTTGAAATCAGCATCCAAAAATCTATCCCATATGCTATTTTTTGTTTCGAAATTTCGAGGTCGTGTTTGGTCCTTTTTTCGGCCGCGAGATTTTGTGGAGTGAGAAAAAGTGAAAGGCTAATTTGCATTTTACATTAAAATTTGCATTTTACAATTTTAAATTTGCATTTTACATTAAAATTTGCATTTTGCAATTTTAAATTTACATTTTACAATTTCAAATTTACATGTTAATTTATATGCAAATTGAGTTTTGGTTTGTTTTGGTTTGTTTTGGTTTGTTTTGGTTTTGGTTTGTTTTGGTGTTTTGGTTTTGGTTTTGGTTTTGGTTTTGGTCTGTTTTGGTTTTGGTTTTGTTTGCCGAAGTCTAGTTTAAAGCCTTTTCAAAAAAAATTTTCATTAGTTCGGCCGACAAACGGCTCAACGTCAAAATTTATGCGGAAAAACTATAATTGGCATCCCCAAATTTGTTTGATTGTAAAATTTGAATTTAAATCTCATGGAGACAGCGGCCAAATGTTAGCAAATCATTTTCGATTGCAAGCAAACCAGGTTCTGTTTCTTATTACTTGTCCTAAAATTTTAGGGATCTGCTTTGTCAGATTCTGCCATATTCGGTCAGATGTTTTAATTTTGATTTAGCATCTGGTGTGGCCTCTCCTGATGATGATTCTCATCTACGCTTTGCCGATTTTACTGAGTTAGTCAGCATTGGATTCGGTTCCATTCAATTTCGTGTTTTAGTCCTTTTTGCGGTTGGATGTGGTAGAAAGAAAACGCCTAGAGGATCGATACGCCGTCCAAAAGCGTCGAAGGCTAGAACTGCCGTGGGAAATGAGAAGCTGAGCCCAGCTTCATTGGTTCCGCTTCCACAGGTTTTTTTTATTTCGAATCTTCCAAGTCACATTTTACAGTCAACGCCAAAGAAGGCAGAAAGCAAGCACGATGTGAAGCATGAGGCAAATTTTCTTATTTTCTATTACCTAAGATATTTTTAGAAAGGTTTCTTCTTCGCGGAAAAGAGCTGCAAAAGTGGGAAAAAAGCTTCGGAGACTAAAGAGACAAGCGAGGAGGAAATCCTTCCAAAACCAATCCATCGAACTGAAAAAGCGGTAGACTTGGCAAAGCGAAAGGCCGTTAAACTGTTTGAATTTTTAGGAAGCAATCGTGAGGAAAAGCGACTATCCAACTTTCAACGATATCTTGAGTGACCGTGACTGGGAGAGCAAAAGCAAGCAGGTGCTGTTAATTTCTCGGATTAGGATCGGGGTGATTTATTGCTTTTTGTTTTAGAGCGCTTCCAGAAAATCCGAAATGAAGCTCGACCGAGATCTCAAGAAGGAAAAGAAGGAAAACCTTGCGGACTAGTGTATTGAGCAGCAATAAATTTTCGAAATATGCCGTCCATTCACTAAAATAATGAAAAGTCCAGTGAAAAATAACCGGCCTATCAAATAAAGTTTTTTAATCTTATCGATTCCGCTCTTGTTAATCTTATTGATTCCACAATTCAAGTTTATTGAGAATCTCTCGCATTATGAGAACCCACCCACCAACCAAAAAGCATTGGTCACCATAAAATAAAAAGATTTGCCACGCCCTGTATATTAGAAAAAAAACTCATTCCTAACATACAGGGCGTAGCAAAATGCAAAAACCATTCTCGATTTTTTTTGCGATTTTTTACAATAATAAAAGAACAATAGGGAAATTAACTTGTTTAACTCTGCGTAATGGCCTTGGATGAGGCGGTGGAATTGGATTTGCGCCTGATGCATAAAAGCTTTGCGGATTGCCCGGCATCGTTATGTCCTTTGCTGGGACCAAGAATGCCACCTCGGGAACCTAGTACGCCTCCTAAAATTCCACCAAAGGTGAGCCCGCTTTCACCTTTCACCTGAGATCTTTCGACAAGCAGCTACCATCCACCCTTACTGTAAGAAATTTGAGCTTGGCTTTGAGTTTACATATTTCTAGACTTTCGCTTGTCATCCTAAATCAAGAAGAATTGGTGGTGAATTTTACCTTTTTTGGAGTGTATAGTTTCAAAGTCTAGGAGTCGATTTGTAATTTGCTGCAATTTGATGGGCGGATTCAAGATGAAAAATTGAGGCAATACAAAGAGCATAATGATGGCACAATGGTCGGTTTTATTTTCCTACTTTGGCAGTTCTTTTTTTCTAGTGTGCAAAGCTGCTTGCTATTAATCGTAAACCAGAACGCACTGATGAGGAAGAAAGAATGACAAGTGAAATGCTGTTTAAATTGAATCTTTATTTTTACAGACTCAAACTCCTAAATATCGTGATTTATCTTGGCCTGCCGACTCGAGGTACCCTCACGTAAAAGACACTGGGCTTTTTACTGGCCAACTTTCGACCCAGTTGATGTTGTCATCGATTACGAAGAAAGATAAAAACAATGAAAAGTTAGTCTTTATAAAAGTTTATTTATTTTCTCGTCCAAATTCTCTAACCTACCTAGTTATTTTAGAGTTTATTCCCATCAAGGAGATGACACCAAATTGAGTCTGGATCGATTCCCTTGGGAAGTCTGCAAGTTGGGTACATGATACTTGATGATAATATTGAAGATTGTACGTAAAGTTATCCATTAAATTTTTTGCAAAAGATTAGCGAAAAAAGTGTATTGTGAAGTGAAATGCTTTAACAACTGGTTTACCGTACGTACAATCCCAACTTTTTGGTTCGACTTTCACTATCATGCTGAGAATATTCCAACGGCTGACTACTTTTTTTGTTCTATTCGTTGCAACAGCGGTCGTTGATGAATCAAACAAGGTGCAGTCAAGAGCAAATGTCACGTAAACCATTTTAGATAATACATTCAATTTAGTGGCACATGGCTTTATGGGGCGATTCGCGATTCACCACTCAAAACCGAGCCAGTTCTGAACGAGGAAGAAATGATACCGATTCAATACATTAAACAATATGGACCGATGAACACGTTCTGATGGATCGAATCTGATGGAGTCAACCATATGGTTATTTTTGATTTATTTGTAGTTACATTCAAATTTTAGCTGTTCTCCAGGCCTGCCTTGGTTATTCAAAGTACTCGTACAGTTGGCGCTCATTGAAGGGAACGAAATTTCACGAAGCGCACGGGAAAAAGTATCACTTTGGAAGCTTTAAGGTAAATTTTGAACTTTGAATTCCTGCTTCAACTAAATTTTGAGCAAGGGGACGTCTTGGGATGCTTACTTCATCTACCACACGATAACATTCATCCTTCAAGTGAAACCTTCATTTTATAGCTTCTTGACAGCATTTATTCTAGGAAGCTCATCCGATTACCTCCCGGTCACGCACAAAGATGTTGAAACTGCCGGAGTAGATTGTTCTATCCAGAGCTTAACTGCGATTGACCTTTTTGATCTGTCCTTAAAATTGTTCAAATCTAATATTGCAATTAATTACAGTATCCCTCTAGGATTAGCATCAAAAAAAGCTGCAAAAATGATTCAATTTTCGTATTCTGAACGAGCAAAGTGGTAAGACCAAAATTCACAAAAAGTTACAAGTGAAAAAGCCAAAAAGCAAACTCACTCGTCCGTCGAACTAGAGCGAGTGACAAAGAGAAAGAAGAGTCGCCAAGCCGAGATCAGGATCGGGGCAGAACACTCCGTCACCTCCACCAACGAAAGCTGCAAAAAGGAGGAAAAACCTCAGCTTCCGAGAAACATAAGGTAGAAGATTTTTATGTTTACATAAGGTAGAAGATTTTTATGTTTACATAAGGTAGAAGATTTTTATGTTTACCTATACCTGTGTTAGTTGCTTTAAAACAAGTTTTATTATTGTTTTTAGGAACCAAATAAAGCCGAGACTGGAGTGATAGAAAGCAGAAAGGATTCAAAAGATGACACCGTTCCTGGGGCTGAGCAGCAAGTATGGTTTTAATCTTGTTCTTTATCTAGCAATGGTTATTGTATAGTATATTTCGATTTAGGTCCATTGTGAAAGCAGAAAGGATTCAACGGGCTCTCGACATGGGCGTAGTGATAAACTTCGCAACGAGTATCGTCACTTATCAAAATGGTGTCCAGAGGGAATGACGTACGATGCTTTCAAAGCCAATCAAGGAGCTCAACCGCGACGAAATCGGTATGCTTTAGATGTATAAGTTAGTTCTTAGATAAACCTAGTGATAAACTTTATTTTTAGATATCAAGATGTACCATGTGGAGATGCGCGTCGAGTGGTGATCAAGTTCCCGGGAGCTCCATGCGAATACATCCATGCTAACTTTGTGAAGACACCACAGGCCGAGAATCGTTTCATCTGCACCCAGGGACCTCTCGAAAACACGGTCGTCGATTTTTGGTTAGTGTTTAGGTTGGCGGTTTGGCCATATTTAATTTTGTTTTAGTTGCTTTCCAATTTGGATCGTCAAGGTCGTAGTTGTTACCGCTCTCATAGAAAATCGGACAAGCCCACCAGCCGGACTCACACCACGGAAAGACGAACTCAACCACACGACTCGAGTTGACGCAAAACGACGGACCAAAAAGAGTCTCTGCGATTTCCACTGCATAACAGAGTTTGTTGACTATTTATATTGTGAAAAAATAATTTTAGCGGAAGAACATCAGTGCGTACTTGGCGAAGATTGCTGCAAATTCCGTGCAATCGACGCGATCATCGGAAATCTCGAGGATATGCACTTTTGAAGGAAAACGTTCTCGGTAAGTAAATTTTGTGCTAAGCTTTAGCTAAGCTAAGCTAAGCTAAGCGAGAACGACCGTGTTTTCGAGAGGTCCCTGGGTGCAGATGAAACGATTCTCGGCCTGTGGTGTCTTCACAAAGTTAGCATGGATGTATTCGCATGGAGCTCCCGGGAACTTGATCACCACTCGACGCGCATCTCCACATGGTACATCTTGATATCTAAAAATAAAGTTTATCACTAGGTTTATCTAAGAACTAACTTATACATCTAAAGCATACCGATTTCGTCGCGGTTGAGCTCCTTGATTGGCTTTGAAAGCATCGTACGTCATTCCCTCTGGACACCATTTTGATAAGTGACGATACTCGTTGCGAAGTTTATCACTACGCCCATGTCGAGAGCCCGTTGAATCCTTTCTGCTTTCACAATGGACCTAAATCGAAATATACTATACAATAACCATTGCTAGATAAAGAACAAGATTAAAACCATACTTGCTGCTCAGCCCCAGGAACGGTGTCATCTTTTGAATCCTTTCTGCTTTCTATCACTCCAGTCTCGGCTTTATTTGGTTCCTAAAAACAATAATAAAACTTGTTTTAAAGCAACTAACACAGGTATAGGTAAACATAAAAATCTTCTACCTTATGTAAACATAAAAATCTTCTACCTTATGTTTCTCGGAAGCTGAGGTTTTTCCTCCTTTTTGCAGCTTTCGTTGGTGGAGGTGACGGAGTGTTCTGCCCCGATCCTGATCTCGGCTTGGCGACTCTTCTTTCTCTTTGTCACTCGCTCTAGTTCGACGGACGAGTGAGTTTGCTTTTTTGGCTTTTTCACTTGTAACTTTTTGTGAATTTTGGTCTTACCACTTTGCTCGTTCAGAATACGAAAATTGAATCATTTTTGCAGCTTTTTTTGATGCTAATCCTAGAGGGATACTGTAATTAATTGCAATATTAGATTTGAACAATTTTAAGGACAGATCAAAAAGGTCAATCGCAGTTAAGCTCTGGATAGAACAATCTACTCCGGCAGTTTCAACATCTTTGTGCGTGACCGGGAGGTAATCGGATGAGCTTCCTAGAATAAATGCTGTCAAGAAGCTATAAAATGAAGGTTTCACTTGAAGGATGAATGTTATCGTGTGGTAGATGAAGTAAGCATCCCAAGACGTCCCCTTGCTCAAAATTTAGTTGAAGCAGGAATTCAAAGTTCAAAATTTACCTTAAAGCTTCCAAAGTGATACTTTTTCCCGTGCGCTTCGTGAAATTTCGTTCCCTTCAATGAGCGCCAACTGTACGAGTACTTTGAATAACCAAGGCAGGCCTGGAGAACAGCTAAAATTTGAATGTAACTACAAATAAATCAAAAATAACCATATGGTTGACTCCATCAGATTCGATCCATCAGAACGTGTTCATCGGTCCATATTGTTTAATGTATTGAATCGGTATCATTTCTTCCTCGTTCAGAACTGGCTCGGTTTTGAGTGGTGAATCGCGAATCGCCCCATAAAGCCATGTGCCACTAAATTGAATGTATTATCTAAAATGGTTTACGTGACATTTGCTCTTGACTGCACCTTGTTTGATTCATCAACGACCGCTGTTGCAACGAATAGAACAAAAAAGTAGTCAGCCGTTGGAATATTCTCAGCATGATAGTGAAAGTCGAACCAAAAAGTTGGGATTGTACGTACGGTAAACCAGTTGTTAAAGCATTTCACTTCACAATACACTTTTTTCGCTAATCTTTTGCAAAAAATTTAATGGATAACTTTACGTACAATCTTCAATATTATCATCAAGTATCATGTACCCAACTTGCAGACTTCCCAAGGGAATCGATCCAGACTCAATTTGGTGTCATCTCCTTGATGGGAATAAACTCTAAAATAACTAGGTAGGTTAGAGAATTTGGACGAGAAAATAAATAAACTTTTATAAAGACTAACTTTTCATTGTTTTTATCTTTCTTCGTAATCGATGACAACATCAACTGGGTCGAAAGTTGGCCAGTAAAAAGCCCAGTGTCTTTTACGTGAGGGTACCTCGAGTCGGCAGGCCAAGATAAATCACGATATTTAGGAGTTTGAGTCTGTAAAAATAAAGATTCAATTTAAACAGCATTTCACTTGTCATTCTTTCTTCCTCATCAGTGCGTTCTGGTTTACGATTAATAGCAAGCAGCTTTGCACACTAGAAAAAAAGAACTGCCAAAGTAGGAAAATAAAACCGACCATTGTGCCATCATTATGCTCTTTGTATTGCCTCAATTTTTCATCTTGAATCCGCCCATCAAATTGCAGCAAATTACAAATCGACTCCTAGACTTTGAAACTATACACTCCAAAAAAGGTAAAATTCACCACCAATTCTTCTTGATTTAGGATGACAAGCGAAAGTCTAGAAATATGTAAACTCAAAGCCAAGCTCAAATTTCTTACAGTAAGGGTGGATGGTAGCTGCTTGTCGAAAGATCTCAGGTGAAAGGTGAAAGCGGGCTCACCTTTGGTGGAATTTTAGGAGGCGTACTAGGTTCCCGAGGTGGCATTCTTGGTCCCAGCAAAGGACATAACGATGCCGGGCAATCCGCAAAGCTTTTATGCATCAGGCGCAAATCCAATTCCACCGCCTCATCCAAGGCCATTACGCAGAGTTAAACAAGTTAATTTCCCTATTGTTCTTTTATTATTGTAAAAAATCGCAAAAAAAAATCGAGAATGGTTTTTGCATTTTGCTACGCCCTGTATGTTAGGAATGAGGTTTTTTTTTCTAATATACAGGGCGTGGCAAATCTTTTTATTTTATGGTGACCAATGCTTTTTGGTTGGTGGGTGGGTTCTCATAATGCGAGAGATTCTCAATAAACTTGAATTGTGGAATCAATAAGATTAACAAGAGCGGAATCGATAAGATTAAAAAACTTTATTTGATAGGCCGGTTATTTTTCACTGGACTTTTCATTATTTTAGTGAATGGACGGCATATTTCGAAAATTTATTGCTGCTCAATACACTAGTCCGCAAGGTTTTCCTTCTTTTCCTTCTTGAGATCTCGGTCGAGCTTCATTTCGGATTTTCTGGAAGCGCTCTAAAACAAAAAGCAATAAATCACCCCGATCCTAATCCGAGAAATTAACAGCACCTGCTTGCTTTTGCTCTCCCAGTCACGGTCACTCAAGATATCGTTGAAAGTTGGATAGTCGCTTTTCCTCACGATTGCTTCCTAAAAATTCAAACAGTTTAACGGCTTTTCGCTTTGCAAAGTCTACCGCTTTTTCAGTTCGATGGATTGGTTTTGGAAGGATCTCCTCCTCGCTTGTCTCTTTAGTCTCCGAAGCTTTCTTCTCACTTTTGCAGCTCTTTTCTGCGAAGAAGAAACCTTTCTAAAAATATCTTAGGTAATAGAAAATAAGAAAATTTGCCTCATGCTTCACATCGTGCTTGCTTTCTGCCTTCTTTGGCGTTGACTGTAAAATGTGACTTGGAAGATTCGAAATAAAAAAAACCTGTGGAAGCGGAACCAATGAAGCTGGGCTCAGCTTCTCATTTCCCACGGCAGTTCTAGCCTTCGACGCTTTTGGACGGCGTATCGATCCTCTAGGCGTTTTCTTTCTACCACATCCAACCGCAAAAAGGACTAAAACACGAAATTGAATGGAACCGAATCCAATGCTGACTAACTCAGTAAAATCGGCAAAGCGTAGATGAGAATCATCATCAGGAGAGGCCACACCAGATGCTAAATCAAAATTAAAACATCTGACCGAATATGGCAGAATCTGACAAAGCAGATCCCTAAAATTTTAGGACAAGTAATAAGAAACAGAACCTGGTTTGCTTGCAATCGAAAATGATTTGCTAACATTTGGCCGCTGTCTCCATGAGATTTAAATTCAAATTTTACAATCAAACAAATTTGGGGATGCCAATTATAGTTTTTCCGCATAAATTTTGACGTTGAGCCGTTTGTCGGCCGAACTAATGAAAATTTTTTTTGAAAAGGCTTTAAACTAGACTTCGGCAAACAAAACCAAAACCAAAACAGACCAAAACCAAAACCAAAACCAAAACCAAAACACCAAAACAAACCAAAACAAACCAAAACTCAATTTGCATATAAATTAACATGTAAATTTGAAATTGTAAAATGTAAATTTAAAATTGCAAAATGCAAATTTTAATGTAAAATGCAAATTTAAAATTGTAAAATGCAAATTTTAATGTAAAATGCAAATTAGCCTTTCACTTTTTCTCACTCCACAAAATCTCGCGGCCGAAAAAAGGACCAAAACACGACCTCGAAATTTCGAAACAAAAAATAGCATATGGGATAGATTTTTGGATGCTGATTTCAAATCTGCAAACAGATTTTCGCTAGCTCCTCCCAGTCGCGAGATATTGGCGAGTTTTGGTTAGTTTTGGTTTTGGTTTTGGTTTTGGTTTGTTTTGGTTTTGGTTTTGTTATGGTTTTGGTTTTGGTAGTTTTGGTTTTGGTTAAGTTTTGTTTTCCGAAGTCTACTTTAAACATAATTTTCCTGCGCCCTTTTTGTGAACAACTGAAAACGCTATCTGCAGCTTTTTAATATTTTGGTGAAGACAAAAACTGGCGATTTTCGACTTTTTGGTCCAATCAAGATATTGATAGTTTTAGTAAAACATACCGAAACCGAAAAATGAACATATCATGATCTTTTATAACCTGTAACAACATTTGCAAAACAATTGAAAAATAGTAACAAGTCGGCAAGATAACAAAACGATGGAGCATCGGGAGCATGTTCCAAAATTGGTTGCGTTGAAGTTGACGCCTTTACAGTGACTTTCTGTTCGATTTCTTTAGCAAAGACATCTAAAACTTTCAAGAATGCACTTTTACTTAGTTTTGTAAAACCTGTAAAACAATCTTCCAATTGTGACGTGGATAGCCAGAATGACCCGCTTTGCCGGTGGTTTTGATGACGAACTGAAAAGAGGAAGTAAAGTAGCTTAGTGCAACAGAAAGTGCAGAACATGTTTACAGGGCCCAGCACAAAGAACGCTTAATTTTTTTAACCTTGAAGGCTTCTTTTTGAATTGAGGCAAAACGATTCTCGGTCGGCTCTCCCACTACCAGAAAATGGGGTTGAAGTTGGAGTTTATTGGCTTCCTGAAGTGTTTCTGAATAAATTACTGCCAGGATTGTCACAAGGCCCGGACAGAATCAGGGCTTGACCCACAAAAAATCCCTGGACCAGGTTTGCGGACCGGCTCTCTTGGCCCACATCCCTGATTACTGCAAAGTCCAGGCTCTGTTTCACTACAGAATACCGGAGTGAAAAGTTTGTACTTAATTGGCTAAGTAGAATTCGCCAGAAAGTATTCAAGCTTCTTAGCTGAATACCTTTCCTTGGTATACTATAAGGAGTTGGGGTATACTGTATTTAAATTTTCTTACAATCATCATTCTTACAAAATATCTTGGTCCTTGAAAAAAATTTAAAAAAAAATTTTCCTTAAAAAAAATTTTTTCATTTTTTAATTTCCTCTAAATTAAAACTTCCCCAAAAAAAAAAAAAAAAAATTATAAAAAATTTTTTTATTTTATTTTTTATTTTTTTTTTTTTTTTTTTTTTTTTTATTTTTTTTTTTATTTTTTTTTATTATTTTTTTTTTTTTTTTTTTTTTTTTTTTTTTTTTTTTTTTTTTTATTTAAATTTTTTTTTTTTTATAAAATTTTTAATTTTTTTTTTAACATTTTTTTAATTTTTTTTTTTTTTTTTTTTTTTTTTTTTTTTTTTTTTTTTTTTTTTTTCCCTTTCCTAAAAAAAAAAAAAAAAAAAAAATTTTTTTTTTTTTTTTTTTTTTTTTTTTTTTTTTTTTTTTTTTTTTTTTTTTTTTTTTTTTTTTTTTTTTTTTTTTTTTTTTTTTTTTTTTTTTTTTTTTTTTTTTTTTTTTTTTTTTTTAATTTTAAAATTTTATTTTTTTTTTTTTTTTTTTTTTTTTTTTTTAATAAATTTTTTTTTTTTTTTTTTTTTTTTTTTTTTTTTTTTTTTCTTGGTCCTTGGTTAAAAGACTTTTGTCCATCAATTTTTGATTTTATTAAAAAGTTCACCTGATAAATTGTCAAATCCATCTTTTTGTAATGTTAAAATTAGAGACAATAAGCTCTTTAAATCTTTTAATTTTAATTTAACTTTAACCGTTTGCAAATTGGTCGGATTTGGATCAAGATATACAAAGAACAAACTTCTAAAAGCCAACGTTAAAAGACTTTTGTTCATGATTGCATTCAAAAGGAAAATCTAAATTCGCACAGATTGACAAGAAGAAAAATTCCGTTTTGTTTTCCACAGTTTTAGAAATTTTAAGCAATTTTCTTTATTATTGAATAGTTGAAGAGATGAATCGTCAATGTCAATGTGCATTGTTATGTAGATTTTTGGAGAACAAGAGAGCGGCCCTGCTAGCACTCTCAAATAGCCACAAGGCTCTTTCTTCTGTTAATATATTACTTTATTACTTTATTACTTTATCTAGCAATACTTTATTTATCGAAAAGGTTCTGAAAAGTGAGTTTTTATACACATCATTGTTGTGTTTGTTCGTTCAATTTTGTATCTCGAAGCGAGTAAAGAAAGTAGATGAAGATTTGAATTTGTTTTCAAAGCTCATATCTTTCTGATTGCACTCAGTTGTCGGAGTGAGCTGAATAAACAGATTCTTCTTATTCTTCCAGATTATCTCATGAAAATGACTTTTTAACAACTACTTTTTAATTGTGCTTGTGGTTGGATGAGAGAAGACAATTAAGAAAAACTTTTGAACCTTTAGGACACTATAAAATGCTTTAGCTGAATATACATTCTGTGTAGGCAAGATTAGCTTTAAAATTCTCTTTTTTCTTTCTTTTGGGGTTGCCGGTTTTTTTTTTTCCTTTGTAATCCTTATTTTTTTATCTTTTTTCTGTTCAAATTCAGCACAAATTCAGCAAATTCAGACTTTCTATAAGATGATATAAGCCATATTGTTCTCCAAATTTCATACCATAACAAATTGGATTCAAGTTGCGGAGTCGCGTTTTTCCCCCTTAGTGAATCGTTATTAGAAGAGCAATTCACTTGAAAATGTGCCATGAGTGAAAAATGGTGCACATGTTGCTTTCCCTTCAACCGAATGCTTTCCCGTCAACCGAATGCTTTCCCGTCAACCTTCACCTTTTTTTCTTGTCTAAATCTCATTGGACATATGGAGTTCCAAATTGAAAAACGACTCCTTTCATCCAAATGCCAATCATTAATGACACAATGTTGAAAAAAATGGGTGACTAGATTTTTCAAGCACATTGCTTTTGCTGACATTGCTTAATCGAATATTTTGCTTGACCAGTTTAAGTTTGAATCACAAAAAGCATTGATCTAAATGAAATAGAACTGGGCTAAATTTCATAATACAATTCTAAACAATGATTCAAATGATAAATGATTCTAAATGATCTAAATGATTTAAATGATCAATGATTCTAAATGATCTAGTTGATCTAAATGATCTAGTTGATCTAAATGATCTAGTTAATCTAAATGATCTAGTTAATCTAAATGATCTAGTTGATCTAGTTAATCTAAATGATCTAGTTGATCTAGTTAATCTAAATGATTCAACTGATTAATGATCTATTTGATCTAAATGATCTAAATGATTCTAAAAAGTAACTATATACTTAAGCCATAGTCTTGTCAAGTTTTTCATTTTAGATCTAAAAATAAATTGCGATATTCTAGCTGCTCAATTATAAAACCCAGGCCTAAATGGTTGACAAGAGAGAATCGAATCGAATGGTTTTTGAAAAATGAGGGGGAGGGGGTGGTGGAAAAGAAAGAGAAGAGTGTACGCAACATATGCTACAATCAACCCCGCAGACACAACTTTGAACGCGCACCGCGCAATTGATGAGACGCGATTAATTTTATTGGGTTCACCAACGTGGACGTCGTGTCTTGCTTTTCTTTTGGATTTTGGAGACACGATCTTGGAAGAGAATCCCCGTTCGAGGCCATATCCCTCATCTCTTTTTCCTCAATGAACTAAAGACAAGGACTGTTCTCTTTGATCCAAACTCTTGCTACTTACAGTAACCATTTGCTTCTCTCAATCATTTACTTCTGATTTTTTTCTTTAATTAAAGATTATTATATTGTTCAATTGATTGTTTTAATGTTTGGACTGTTTGGACTTTGATGAGACGCGATTAATTTTATTGGGTTCACCAACGTGGACGTCGTGTCCTGCTTTTCTGGAGCATGTCAATTATGACTTAATGTCTTAATTGACATGTTTGGACTTTGAGTTCAATACTATCTTTTTAAATTTTCCTAAAAAATCTTTGCTTTAAGCACTCTAAGCACGCTTTAAGCTTTAAGCAAACTGAATAATTCAAATAATTCAAAAGTAATCTCTAGTTATGTTTTGAAAATAACTGTTTCATTTGATTTGAATCTTTTAGATATTCTGGATCAATTTTACAATTGATATTAGATTCAATTCAACGTACCAATTGAAATAAAGTTTTGTGAATGAAAGAGGAGTTAAGAGAAGAAAAGAGGGGTGTCAAGTGGTGGGGTTGGGTCCTCTATCTGAATGACAACAGAACGACAACGCCATTTGTCATCGATGGATGGAAAGGAGAAGTGAGAAAGGAAAGGAAAGGAGAAGCAGCACACTTCTCTCCTTTTCTCCTATCCT